TAAAACATTAAAAACAAAACGGAAGATAATATGATATGTTTTGTTTTAACGGACTCGCGACAGATTAAAAACGCTTTTTTAGATATTTTAAATCACAAACTTTGATGTTATGTTAGGTTGTCTATGAAGTTATATCATGCGAGTTACCTAAATCGATTCAATTGTGCGCTCGATGTACCTTTTTATCCATTCTGAAACTACCGACAAAGCCAAATGCTACTTTTTTCAGTCGCGATGCGATGCAATATAGGTTTATTAAACAATTTGTTATTGCGAAAAAATACATTCGTTGTTTCTCATTTGATGTCCGTGGATTGGCGAGGTAATTCTGGTTTGTAATGATATTATATTGTCGTAAGTCAACGCATCCGCAGGTTCCATTGAACACAATGAAGCCAATAAACAAGGCATTTGAACATGCAGGCATCGTCAAGGATTGCGCAATTGTAAATTGTACTCATTGATATTTAAACACCGCTGAGATAACAAAATTGATCATTTTGATCGTGAAACCAAACGCTCAAACGGGATGGCGACTTTACGTAATTTGTAACTTCCTTTCCGTAACTTGAAATAATTACGTAATTCCCTAAATTACGTGCAAGCCTAGTCCCTAGGTTTTCGCCGGTGAAAATAGTCCTTGACCAAAAAAGGTTGGGAAACGCTGCTTTAGAAGAAATGGATATCAAACGGAATTATATGGCCATGGAAGGTTAGATGTTTCGCAAACAATTTTCTCTTATTCGATATATCTGGCCTTACTTTGTTTTAACGTCACATCTCAATATCTAAAAACGCCTAAAATTTCTCCTGGTTTAAAAGTCTAGTATAAATAAGTATGTTTGTTCAAAATTTGAAAGATTTTACAGATTATCATCCCTTAGTGTCGTCATCAAAATTATTTTGTCATCTACGTACAATTGTTCATACACTGGTACAAATATCTAAAAAAATATTGATGTTCTAAACCTCACCTATATTTGAATGAATATGCAACGGGTAATAACGGATGGTCACCATAAAACGGATCCAAACTAGTATGGGAATCGATTAGGTAATAGATTAGATTTTATAGCACAATACATACAAGCGAGCAATGTGCTATTTTTGAAAATAAATAAAAGGCACCCTATAATCAGCCCATCGGTATTTGAGAAAAACCAAGATGGATAGATTTCAATCATCGAACAGTTATCATTTCTCTTCAAAAAACATGAATCATAGACAAAGCGCCCACTGATTTGGCGACTGTATACGAACTCGACTCGAATTTGCGAAATACAATGCAATACTAGTTGTCGAAAAGTTTGGATCGATAGATGCATTATCACTGAATAACGACAAGTTGAGGGGAAAGGCAATTTACTCTCCATTGTGCCCGAATTCAGACTCTTCTTGGTCTTGGTCCATTTTGAGTTTATTTTAACTCGATATTTTATATTTTTGTATTACAAATTAAGCAAATGACTGACTGGAACTTGTGGATGAGAGACTTGATATTAAAGTTAATCATGAGCTACAACGTTTTGTTTGGGTACACCTGGTGATAAAAAGTTAAGTTGGCGGGACTAATGCATAGTGGGGTAAATGTAGTTTTTATTCAGCGAATAGGAAATTCCTTTGCGACACACATCTTACTACCAAAATGCTTTGAAAAACGTCTGTCAAGTGTCCCTCTGTACCCCACTTGTGGGGCACAATGCGTCAGTCTGTCAAGTTCAACGAAGTATGCCCTAAAAAATAAGCAATTAATCAGCATAATCGCCTGAAGAACAGGGAGACTTCAAATTTGAAGATTTAATATTTTTAAGATCAATGTTCAACTGAAATAGTTCCAATATTTTGACAAAAAATTTCGCAAACAAATTTGATTGTTTCCTAAAATCTAAATCTGGAAATATTATTGATTCTGGAATATATTCCATATTGGGCTATGGGTCGAAAGAAACCATAATCTTACACAAAATATACCGCATCTCTAGGTCTCTGAGCACTTATTGTATCAAACACTCTCGAATTTTGCGAGAAGTTTTTGTTAAATTGTTCAAACATCTTAATTAACTGTTAATCTTGATAGCAAACATGGGGAGCAGGGGGGGGCTGACTGTGATGGTCGTATCGCTCCCCAGTCTATACCGAATAACTGTGTGTTTTGTATATAATTTTTATTGATTCAATGCTTGTATTCTGGTTGACAAAATAAATCTCCCTCTCGTAATCAGTCATGTTTTTTAACCTAGTTACGAGACCGGTATTGTACCATTATAGGTTGGAGATATTCATCTTTTTTGTATACCGGTACCGTACAACTTCTCCTGCCTATTGGCAAGATGGCCAACATTTTTGTTCGTAGGCCCATTTCAGTATTTACTAAATAATTTAGTTTTCACCTCTTGCAGCCTTGGTACGGTACCGGTAGTTTAAATAACACGTCAGCATGCCTTCAGTAAATGATTGCTAGCTGTACAGGTATAAATGCGTAAAACCAGTAAACAAACGTGATAGAAATGGTACGGGTTATAGATTGTCAATGTTAAACGCTTCCAGTACCGGACGGATACGGTCACGGACCCAAAGCGACATTAGGGCCGCATTTGCAGCGCATATCCCACAGAGCACGGCGCGTTGGCAGAATCTCATGGTCTAGTGAGAATGACGTCATCGGAAACACCGCGCTCATTAAAATTTGAATGAACGATTATCAAAAATCTTGAACATGTTTATCATGATAAAAATATCCAAATAGATGTAAAGAATATTCTATCCTCAAAACTGCTCACGTATACAATGAAAGATATCTAGAAAATTACAAAAAATGCAAATTTCTGCTCTGGTGATCACATTCCCCATAAGAGCTAATGTTAAAAAAAAAATTTTACATCACTTTTTTTTTGCGCGTAGGATGGGTTTTTAATGAATAAGGTCTATTATTACGTCATATTGCTGATTTATGATTGTTACGGATATAAACAAGGAAATCGATGCTCGAGGAACCCATTTTTCTCGTCATAGCGATCCCGATATAAGATAGATCGCTAGCGTTAACTCAGTGGTTCCCAACCTTTTTTATGTCGCGGCACACTATACAGCTATTTAAATATTCGGGGCACACCTATCACAAAACAGGAACATTTCCTACTCTTGAAGCCATTTAGCTGTAAAATATTAAAAAGCATAGAAGATCAGATAAGAGAAATTTTATTCTTGGTATTATAACATATCCTGTATTTAAAATGGATGGTTAATAGTTACCGATATTATAACTGTTTTCTTGCAATAATGTACACGAGACCCATCTTAGGAGCACCTCACATTGTTGTAAGAGATGCGCGGCCGCACGGGTAATACGAGACGAGAATACGTTTTGGTTTTTCTCGCCCTTCCCCTGAATGTAGCCTTATTATTATCACAAGTATTCTCACTTTTGCACAACCTAATTCATTTTTGTTACAATCTAATGTTTCTCCCATTGCCAAAATCATTCAACGGTGTGATTGTCGGCACTAGCGAAAGAAATGAAAGAGGCAAACAAACCGTATTTCATTACAACAATTAATTATTCTCGCTAAAAACACTAAATAGGTTTAGGGTTGTTATAAACAAATTTCACCGATGAACGAATCTTTTCACGTTATGAATTTCGTGCAAGGCCCGAGCATAATTTGGTGGCAAATATTGTAGCATTTACTATGTCCAAACGCTCATTCGACTTTTCAGACCGCAGAAACTTTCCGAAAAATAACCGTTTCTGGGTTCGAGATATGAAATAATCGTCAATTTCACCACGCTTTAGTGGAGTAGTGTAATTTACCAAATTTAATGAAGGATTTATTATTAAGTTTTATTGCATCAGTGTTTGTGCTACCGCGTTTTGCCTGATTACTGGCGTGATTACAGATCGCAAGGATGGGCAAAATAGAATATTTTTATCGAATCGAATAATTCGGATATTTTTAACGAATTGTCGAATATCGGATATTTTTAATATATACAAAAACAATGGCAGGCATTCCAATGTTGATGAGCTATTTCCGCCCGTCCGCTCTTTTTTTACAAGAACTAATTCTTACTCAACGTTTGGTTTTGTATTCCTGGGAGAACTATGCGTTCATATGGGCGACATATGTTAAAGGCGGCTATTAAAGAGTGAATTCGGGATTTTATTCTGATTTTTATTTTTTACGCCGGTTTTGATCTTTCTCCCCACCAATTGTAAATTAACTGTTCCAATTTTAAGCTAAGAATATCATCATTTCTGACGTCGGAATGCGGATATTCATAAAGACGATAGTTGACCTTCTTATGATTTTACTTTCCTATTTCATTTTTTTTTTTCGTATTAAATGGTGAATAAAAACCTGCAAAGTCTTTCCGTAGATCTTGAAAGTTGTTTTGAGTTTAAATAATAATTAAATAAATAGGCAATAATGGCAATTCGATTAGTCAAATAATGATTCCTTGGTCAAATTTGGGAAAAATTTCGCACAATAATTTGTTACCTTGGTTGACAATTTCAATTTTACGAAACGGTGTTTGCGCGCATTATGCAAAACTTAGAATTGAAACGATACCTAAATATGACTCCTCAAATTTGTCGTTTCTGTTTGTTAGCAAGAGCCGTGGGTAGACTAATTCTTGTGGAATTCAAGGGATTGGAAATTGGAATCACTTGAAATAAATTCAAAAATGAAATCTTTCCGCGGCACGCCAAAATCTTTCCGCGGCACACTGATATGCCGCGGCACCCTGGTTGGGAACCACTGCGTTAACTAGATGTTATCAAAGTGACTATAGTCACTTTTATGTTATAACGGCTCTCGTACATTTGAACCCACGTAAATTTGAACCCACGACAATTGCACCTTCAAACTATTGCACCTATGGAATTTTTTTTGTTTTGCGGATATTTGAACCCATACTAACCCTAACCAATGAGCATATGCTCATTGCCCTAACCCATGGGTTTTAGCACCCGCATATAGATTGAACCCGCGGGTATACACATGGATTCAAATGTACGTGGGTTCAAATGACCTAGGTAAAGCTAGCTGATACTCTGTACGGTCACCGTTATGACAAACCCACTAGAAGTTATTGTGGTACGAAAACCAATTTTTGCATTACCGGTACTGTCTGATACCTAATTCAGTGTTTTGTCAAGTTAAATACTGTAATAAAGGTCAACATGAGTGTTTTTGTATTTGACAACATTCTGGAGGTTATGAATAAATTTGAAGAGTATAAAGCCGAAACTCAAAGCAAATGGAGAAAAATAGAATCAAGAGGACCACTGTTTCTTCAACCAGGTTTGATCAACTTCAAAATATTGCCTAGATCTTTAGATTTCACACAACGGAACAAGGGCAGTATGGCACCAATCTACCATTATTTGCATTATGTATGAAAGTTTGCTCAGTAGTCTACTATCTGACTAACCTACAGGACTATAGTTTAATTAGTTGTAGAAGCATTATTTAGCCCTTGTTCTTGGTATTCTAGTAACAAAAATGAATTAGGTAAACAAATAATTGCATTCATCTGCTCATACGCAATTTTAAGTAATCAAAAATTACTGTAATACTGTAGTCTATGATTTCAACCAATTGACTTGTAACATAGGAAAGCGACATATGATAATTCTGTAATTTGTATGACATGTATACATGTTTGCTCATTCTGACCACCAGACAAAACAATTGATCGCTATCGTTCAACTATTTAATATTAAAGTATTTATGTATCCAATAGAGTCCTGGTCCTCGTATATACATCTATAAACATTTTTAGATTGTATTTTCATCTAATTTTACATATTCACGATCTGTTTTTATCAATTAAGGTCCTGATACATATGAAACCATTGATCATTTAACAACAAGAGGTTCATCAAATTATAATCGGTTTCTCAACTGGGCTCCTCTTCGATCACTCAATGATCATACACCTTATGTATCTATTGGACGACATATTTATGGATGCTTTTATGGAGTAGATCCAAGCCGTCCAAGAAAAATATAAAAAATCTTGAAAAGGAAATGGAATATATGTCGGTAGGAAAGCAGTTAATAGTTTGGAGTTCTCATTGCATGCCGAGTCCTCTACGGCAGTCACCAACTATCTTCATGTCACAAGTTGCTTTGGTTTTATAGCTATTGCCTATTGGTAATATTTGGTTAAGATAAAATATTTCCTTCTATTGTGAATTTTCCTAGTGCCACTGCCACAGGAATCTTAGCATACTTTAGATAGATAAATATTTATTTTCATTGACATGTGCCTTCCAGAGTGGAATCTCCTTGCCAATAACAACACATTATTGAAATCCAGTAATGGGCTATTCCAAGTGACACTACAGGACAATTCCAGAAATTTTGCATGTTGTTAAATTCAATATATTTTCACATTTTCAGCTACATGTTTTGTTTCATTGTCCAATCAGTTGCTTTATTGAATATGTAAAAAATTGCACAAAAGTTACACCCAACCTTACTTAGTAGATAAAAAAAATATAGTAAAATATAGCGTGACACTACAGGACGGCAAATCCACCATGCACTAACAGTACGTTGTGTTGTGCTGTAAATTTTTGTGATGGTACAGTGGGAGCCCATAATATTTTCTGGTGCAGTAGCTGAACTACCCCTCTATGTGTTGCTCAAGTTACTCAATGTAACACTGTGAATCCATGTCAATAATGTGCATATTGTATGTGACACTACAGGACGTGACACTACGGACATTTTTCCACTTCGGAATAGCGGCATCTATCATCTCTTGAAATTCTGGTAATAAATCGTTAAATGGGTGAAGAAATGTTCTACAGCACTGCAAACATTCAAACTTTATTAACTTAAATCCAGTGCGTCAATTCCATATGAAATAACTGTACCACACAATCAAACACTTTGTGTCAGGAATCATCACAAAATATTCAATTATACCAAAATTTCTGCATTTCAGGCCATTTTTTATAAACCATGAAAAACCTGGGTGAAATTTTAAATTGTTCGATGAAATGAATGCAGTCCAATAAAATTCCAATGTCTTTTGATATCAAAAATTAAAAAAAATTACTTTCACTACCTTTTTTAAAAAATTGATGGAATTCAACTTTTGCTTGGAATGGCCCTAATGTTCTAGTCTAATCCATAACTACAGAAGTAAAATCAGACTTAATTTGCTTTCAGAAACTTGCTGCCCTATTATTTTTCTAAATGTCCTTTTGTACTGAACTTTCGAATGGTAGATAAAAGAGCCTACCTCCCAATTGCTGTGTGTATATTAATTACTCTTAATTTCAAGGAACAAGAAAGAAAAGAAGCAGCAGAAGAGAGGCAAAGTTTTTTGGAGATGGCTGATGTTCAATGTCCTGCAAGAGCTCGACTCTTTTATGTCATTAAATTTCCTACTCTCAAGGTACGTGCTGCTAATAAAAAATTCATGATCGATTGCTGACAACAAAATTTTGTGTCTATTAGGGCAATGCTTTCATCATTTAGTTCCAATGAAAATCAGCATATTCAAATATACTGTATGTCATATTCCTAAAGTTTGGTGATCATAATTTAGAAATAAAGTTTATAAACAACTAAACAAGTTGATATTTTTAAACAAAGTTAATATTTGTGTTTAAATTACAGATAACATTCGATGTATTATACATAATGATTTTACAACACTATATAACATTTTTCAATTTAATAAATAACTACACGAATTATCATATTCGTCAGCCATTATAATTATAAGAAATGGCAATGAGAAATTGACTTCATTTTTCATAAAACTATGAATTTCATTTCAGACGCATGTTCATGAGAAGCGAAAAGCCATGGCACAGTTGTTTGATAAAATAATGAAAACAAATCCATTACAACTTCATGTTAAGCATACATATGTTATGGAATTACCGCACGAGACTTCACATTCTGATCATCCATGCCCTGATTTCGTGAGTGAACGTGACATATAAATAGATCATTATAACAAGAGAAAATATCAGGAATTTAACTATCCGTCAGTATGCGGTAAAGGCAGTTTTACCCCCTGATGGCTTTTAATAATATTTTATTATGTCATTTAGTTGTTTATTAATATTCAGTTTCAGTTTATTCTATATAATTAATGTCCAAGTCAGGATAAAAGTAATACATTGGCAAATGGCAAGATTAACATGTCTATATTTTCAATACTTCAAATTTTTCCACGCTCTTTAGAGCATCACATCAAACAATAGAATCGGCGACAGGGCAATGCATGATGCCGTTCAATGGTAAGAAATTTTGTTTGGTTTAAATGCTGGATTTCAATTTTTCAAAATGACTATATAGAATAGTGATTTTTGACGTTTTTGGTGGAGCTGAACCCCAATGAAACATTCCAAATTTTCAGAGAAGAACCCCTGTACAATACCTCGTACGCCGTATTCAAAACTTATAACTGGCAAAACAAAATGATACTTATTAAAGTGTAGCAAGTCAACAATACTGACAATCCTAATAGGTGTTCAATTACATTTAAACAATATATTTTATATAGGTTCGCGGATTTGAATGTAAATTTGCGGAACCCTGGGACTGGATTGTCCTTGCAAAACTCTAGGGTGCCACAGAGTCTCCGTTGAAAACCACTGATATAGAATTTGATTTTTGATAAGTTTTGTGATATCAGTCTCTGTTCAATCTTTATCCATTTTATGTTTAATCCGGACCTGAACAAACAATTTCGATTAAAATGGCGTATTTGATGTACCAATTCTTATGAACATAGGTACATGCAAGGAAGGGAGGAAGGAATAAGCCATGTTGTTATAAATACAGATGATACTAGTGATTTCATGAGCGATGCGAAAGAGGAATTTTCAACTTCAACTCCAAATTCTGTTGATGAAATTGCTCAGAAAATTATGAATCATAATAAGAAAACATTTTCTTCACGAAAAATACATCCAGGTTAGTTTAATTAACATAACTTGAAAATACTCTAAATATCATTATATAACAATATTTGGTACTCCCGAAGTATGTAAACCAAGATGGCGGAGGACACCGAAAGTCTGAACGTAGTATGTGTACCGACTACCAGGTTAGGGTTAGGCCATAATTTTATTCCAATTTTCCTTATTTTAGTTCTATTACGAGTTCGGGGACTAGCCAAGTGACTCCCGTAGTATTTGTACCTGTAATTATTCCTAACCCTAACCTGGTACACATGCTACTGATTGGTGTCCGCCATCTCGGTTCACATACTCCGGGAGCAACCAATATTTCATAAAAAGTGTCTCTGAATGACCTTCTAATAAGGGATATCCCAAACCATTCAAAAATTTGAATAGATCCAATATGAGTGGATAATACAGATATTTGGGTTAGAAATAATTTACCATTTGAAAAATTGTTATTTGAGCAATTAAAAGTTTTACAGTAAGGCCAAAATAGCTTTTCTTTATTAAAAATCGTAATAACATAAGAATGAAACAAATCATTGTTTATCTCAACTTTCCTGCATTATCTTAAAACTAGTTGAATAAACATTGAATACTACATACAATCTACATAATCTTTGTTGAACGAAATATGTTCAATAGTTCATATTTGAAGACATTGTTCCAGAATTTATTCATTATAGTATATTATTCAGTTTTGGTTTTGAACTGAATAACATTTCTACCATTCTGTTTTACTACCCCAGGTTTAAATATTGGTAAATAAAAACTTTTTTTCAGAAAAGTAGGGTCTGAATATCTTTTCGACATCAGATTATTAGTTTGGAGAAATTAATCACATTTTTGATCATTGGTTTTCATTTCTTGCAGTCAATAATGAAGATCATGAGGATGAACTTCGTTCACTAGTTTCAAAAACAGGTAAAAAATTCATATCATGGTAACGATAGGATTGGTTTCAGTTTTGACTGTTTGCCAATGTACCGGTAATTACTTTTGTTGATATAAGGGTTTAGATATACTACTGGCCTTAATAGTATACATTGATATTTAATTTACTAAAAAACTATGAGTCTTTTTATATTACTGTAATATTAAATTTGTAACATTTCACCACATTTTTGTATTACAAACTGTAAGTCCAGAGGATATACAGATATTATACATTGAACTGCAAGTCTTTTCTTCTTGTCTACTTCTTACGCAGATACGTATGTGTCCCTTGCCACAGATAGGAATAACATAATGTACACTTCTGCATCAAACATTTAAGCATTTTTGTACTGTTAGTACTTTTATTTATTACTCTCCGTTTTAATTGACCTCAATATCTGACATAGAATTCTAAACAAATTGCAAATTGTTTTAATTGCATATCAGAAAAGATAAAAGAAACCATGCAACCTAGTTCATCAGGAATACAAACTGTCAAACATCATTGTCAGACACAAAGCAGCACTAATTCCAGCGACCCTGATGAATTTTTTTTGTTGTCACTCGTTCCACAATTCAAGATGTTGTCACCGCGGAAAGCGTCAGAAGTTCGGATAGAATTTTTGAAGGTTCTTCATAAAGCGCAATTTGAGAGTAAATGAATCAGTTTGGTTTGCAAATCGAACAAGAGCTGGTATTTACCTCTCATGGTTAGTGATGGTAGATTTGGCCTAGTGGTTAAAGCAATGATCTATGTTGGCGTCGTGGCTTAAACATCTCGGGTTAAAGTCTCATGCCTATCAATACCATACAATCTCACCCAGGGTGTAGTAAATTGTGTAGGCAATCTAAACTGAAAAGATTAGGTACCTCCAAAATATACCTAGTATAGTTTCTTACATAATATCGTTATATGTCTGTGGATACTTGTGCATGGACATGAAAAATCGCTCATCGAAGGTATTATATGATAGTTGGTTTGGTCCATCCATCTACACAATTGCCCTAATTTGTGCTTTATTTTAGTAAAAGTGTGAAAAATACAAGTACAGCTGTGGTTGGAAATATTTTAAAATCATATTAATTTTACTGCTATCTGATAAATTTGCAGTGTTATTATATTATATTCACTCAAAATTCTTAATTGTGAGTACTTTTTGCCTCATACTTGCCAAGTTGCCATTATTTATATGTATCTAACATAACATAGTGTTGGATCTCTACCATTACTTTCCAAGACTGAAAATTGGCACCCTTTCGTACAACTAAAATAGAATTGATGTTTTCTTTCATTTGCGCTATAGTACTTTAATCATCCAATTGCAATTCTTTAGCAGCTCATGGTGTTTCAGTTGTCACTGGAACAAATCCTCTTTAAAAATATTATCTTGATGTCCAACTTCCCTGAAAACGACCGTCTCCAAGAACGGATAATCGTGCAATAGAATTTGTACCTGGGAGAACACCTTGCGTTTCATATCATTTATTACAATCATATTCCAAAATTGTTTCATTCATATAAACTGTCACTTTTGGTTGTCTTCTGTCGATGTTTTGTTTCTATCGTTATAAGTTATATATTTTGTTCTCCCCTTCCACTTTATACTCGTTTCGACATGAAAATATACCTATTTTAGCTTTAATAATTTAATTCTTTATGCGCTTTCATTCACAACCTTGTCTTTGCACTCTTATATTATTTTTAATAAAAAATAATAATGCACAAATATAATTTAACAAAAATGCAGAAAATACTTTTCAAGTATTGTCTTTGGCAATTGCATAACTGACTTTTATGTGGCGGCAATAATAAGTCTGTAAGCGTTATAGTGGTGTCACATGGACTTGCTTCAAGCAGTCTCACCAAAAAATCCAACCCTCGTTTGTTCGAACGCCATTGCCGCCAAACGGTCAGGGTGACTGTGAGCAAATCGGTAACGCTCTCTTTTCATTAGTAAATAGTGTGGTACCGTTAGCGGTGGTGCTCACGCCCACTGGCACATTGATCGTCTCTGCAAGAGTAGCACTGATATTTGGTTTATAAAATCGTTATACATAAAATCACCGAGTGGCGCACAGGGCTGTGGAGACTGGCAGATTTACAATCGACTCCGGAGTGGAAATGTTTTTGCTCAGAGTGGAAAAAACGCTAAAGAAATGAAATTTTGGACCTCCCGAAGTATGCGCACCAAGATGGCGCACAACCTGAACTCAGGTTGTGTACCAGATTAGGGTTCAGGTTATGCGACATCTTGGTGCGCATACTTCAGGAGTACCGCTACAGACTTAGAACGGGTTATCAGCTATTACTAGGAAAAATAAATTCGGTTGTTGAAGTACAGAAAATTTTCATAACAAAACTCCATAGAATTCCACGATAAAGCTGTTGTGAAATCAGTTTCCTAAAGTCTTTGTACGATATATATTAATTATTGCTCACGTTATTCTGCGACAATATTTATCTGAAATCTTGAGGACATCAACAAAAATACTTAACGAATAAATGATTATTGTATTACATTGCAAAATCAAACCCTGAGTTATACATGTTATCATATTTCAACATAATTATATTATTCTATCTTAGAGGCCTTTTTCGGTTTTGTGGAAACGCGCACAGATTATTTCGTTTCTTCATGGAACCGTTTACGTTCCACTTTATGAAAATAAATTTCAGCGATTGAATAGCAAGTTACTGAGAAAGTCAACATGGAAATTAAAATGATGATTTTAGTGTCGACACAGATTGATGTTCCCAATGCAAACATGATTGTAAATCCCATGCTGGTTAACAACGATAGCATACTGAAAGCAACACTCTTGTTCTTGGCAAAATATTCCGGATAGGTCGCTGTGAAAATAGTCAAGAAAAACGTACGTGATAAATGGCACCAAAACGATAGTTTTGCTTGTAGTTATTATGTAATTATATTCTTTTGTATTACAAATTCCTCATATATATATATAACTATTAGGTGGGTGGGTATTAGTCACGATATTATATGTATGCAAATATGCGGAACGATTGTCACGCGATCTTTCGTCGTTTTGCCATGGAATATTTTGTGATGAAATCATGACACCTTCGAAGTAATATGAACATAACAATGAGAAGATAAATTACCATGCCTGGTGTGGCAACGAATATATATTGTTTGAATGTTATTATTTCAGACCACGTAAAGCAATTTAAACACGTAGCTTTCCATGAAGCTTATTATTCGAGTCTAATTTTAAATTTTGAGGACTGACATAAAAGAATTCGTTTAACTCGACCATTTAAAGAGACGTCTGAGGTTTATCGGAAAAAAAAGCGTATCTTCATATATAAATTTAGTTAATAATGAATCGAAACACCAACACGCAATGGACATGGCCTACTTTTGAACGATAGGCTTTGAAATATTCAATTCATGTAAAGGTCACTTAAACGTTAAATAATTGTAATTTAAAACAATGTAAGAACAAAGGGAATAGTTTATTGTTAAAAGCAGAATGGGTCAACCGACAATTCTGAGTCTTATTTTTTTGAAATGCCAATTTTTTTAATTAGAATATTACCTGCAACGGCTGCTTGTCTCACGGCATCCGGCAGACCAAAAAAAGCGATAATGAAATAAATCTGCCAGGCCTTAGACTCCATAGGATGCCAAAACATGCAGAAAATCAATACCGAAGTTTCCAATACGTAGGCAAGTCCGACGAAAGAGTTTCTGCCAAAAGAAGCAGACAGTCGTTGAAAAAGTACCGATCCTACTGTAGCTGTCACGCCGAATAATGCCATGGCCAACCCAACCTAGAAATGTAAGAAACATTAAATAGAAGCAAATAGTTTTGTTTATGTCTCACATAATTTTGGCAAAGGCGACGCAAATGTATTAATTAATAACTAAATACTACTCCATTTCATACGGTTTATTTTCTGTGTTCGAAACACGTCTAACAAAGCTGGTTATTAAACGATATCGGGTTTTCCCTCATAATCTCAGCAAAACTTGATTGAATTCTATCGACTCCAAGCTTAAAATGAGCATTTTACCATTACATGCACTGTGTCAATGAATGAAACATCTCATATGCGATAGAAATCCCATATGAAAGAGATGGGTCCAACAATTGCAAGAAATAAAAAAATGAAAATCATGTCATATTCGATTTGGCGTTTTCGTGCATTTGAATCGAAGATCATATATATTGCTAACGCAGTGTTGTAATTGTAACTGAATAGTGATTAAGTGGCATAAACTAAAAAACGAGAGATCAGCACATGAATTTGGTTTTTGAATAACACGAATCATTTCCGTAGTGACAAATAATAACTTTTACAAGCGTTTACCGTGATAAAAACTAACCTGTTCTACTCCAAGTGGGCAAGAGATGAATGATCTCGTTATATCCCCGAATATGAATCCCATCATCATCCCACTGTATACGTTCAAGGGAGCGATGAGAATTTGAAGAGGTGACACCATATGCCTTAAAATCTTAGCCTGAAATCTTCCGATTGCACGTAACGATAATCTTGGGGAATTGTCTTTATTTTTAGATGAATGAGATTCTTTGAGAAACACTTTATGGAATATCAAAGATAAAATTTGTATCAATCCATAACCTACGAAGAGTAAAATTCTTAACAATGAATTTTCTACGCCGAAATTGTTTTTCGCGGACCCCATTTCTTCTTGAACCACGTCATATTCATAGCAATCTTGTGCGCCACATTGAAATTCTGTTATATCCGTGAAATTTATGCTAGAATAAGAAAAAATATAGTTACTATCTACTTAAAACATCTTGGATATTTTAGTCATCCCAGAAATTATATTTCGACATCCTTAAACACGCACTCCCTCGGCCAACTAATGATTATTAGCTAATCAAGATTGCTTATTATGGCGTTTCAGTTCTTTTCGTATATATTTGAATCTATAAAAGAGATTTTATAAAAGGAAACTTCAAAAGTGGGGCTAATGATCCAAAATAAAAAATTAGGCGCGGTCCGAATCGAATACCCAACAGGTCCGGATTCGGAACGCGGTCCGCCAGTTGAGTAGCCCTGCCCTAGGCTACGCCATTTGTGAGGCCCTTCAATGATATCATGAAGAATTCACCATGTCGTCAAAATAAAAAATTGTCCGAATTTAAATATAAAATGCGTGAAATACGATATTTTTGTTACTGGCAGGATCGCAGTTTAACCACGTAGTCTAATTACACTCCATTGGACTGTAAGTTGAATTTGTTTTTAAGGAGAGGTAAGAGTTTGGCAAATTTCGACAAATTCATTTGTACGGCCGTATTTAATTTTTCAATCTCTTGAACGGTAAATATTAACCGGATTAAAAAATTAAACAATTATCAGATATTTTAAATTTCAAATCTGTTTGAATCCAGAATAAGCATAAACTAATTAAAAACGACTTCAAATTAGTTATTAATAGTTCAAAATCGAATTTCGAGGCCACCAAGAAATGAGGCCTCTAGGCTTCAGCCAAGATTACCCCATGTATGGTGAATGCGGCCCTGGTTTAAATGGATATTGAGTCCGTTTTCAATATACCCAACAGTCGCATCAGAACACTAGGAGAAAACACAAATTAATTTGCAAATGCAAATTTTTACACTATGTTCCTATATTTTGCTCTGTAATTTCAGAAAATATAACTTCTTTCACAAAATCTTAAAAGAACAATTATTTAAACAACTCCATATAAATATTTTTTTCAAGAGTTACGTAAGTAACAAAACAAATATTTGTACTTTCAATTTTCTCTTGAGTGTGAACATTTTGGAGTTTAGTAAAATAACTTCAAAGACTTGCCTGGTTAAATTATTTATCGTTGTAGCGTTGTTACTCATCTTTTCAGAATCGAATACCAATATAATATACGCTATAAGGTTTCCAGCTATCTGAAATAGAAAGAAGTGTTGGCAATGATTGTATGCATGATACCCCATTGAAAATTGTCCTTTGCTTACACAGTAAAATAAAAATACATTCCATCAAAAATGCAAATGCTAGATTACTGGTACGTCTGTGATATTTTCTTCTAGCAATAATCAAAACAGACCTGATGAATTGCAAAAATAGCAAAAAATCTTCCAGTAAACCATCTAGTTTGCTTCCAAGTTAATTCAATCAGATCCACGTCTAGTTCATTCTTCTTCCTCGCATTTCCTGCATTAAAAGTTGTTAATAAATCTTATGCATGAAATGACCTCATCTCTTTGGCTTATAAATCAAATCGCATATTGCAAAAAGCTTTCTCCAAGTGCAGCCGGTGTTATCCAATATATCTAATTCGCCAACGGTACCAAAGTTTTAGAATTTAAGCTGAACTCGACTGGAATGTCAATAAAATGCAAATCAAGGATTCTAAATTACCTGTTATTTTTGGCTGGCAGAGCTCAAGTTTGCAATGCAAAACTCCTATATTTCAGCCCCTAAAAAGCAATGGGGTTGTTAGGATCTGTGATTATCCGTCCTCCTGAGCGTAATAGTCCACAATCTGCAGAGTGATCCAAATTTGACTATATCGATGATAAAATTGGAAAATATTTCGATTTGAGTTATGCGACCATGATAATATAGAAATAGTAGCATGAGATTTTAAAACTCCTTTCTAGACAATATACTGCCCAAAATGCCGCATTTCCACCAAGTGCATATACCGAACATACTAAAAACGCATTATTTAAGTTAACGTTGCTTTTCAATACCTTTGAAAGTGTGCTTAGCATACTGCGTTCCAAATTGCGCGTTGAACATTGTTATGGCTGGCCATACAAATGCCTCCCCAATTCCCAATATAACGGCGGCAGGATATAGACTGTGCTTCACTGAAAATAGAAAATGTTTTATTCAGCAAGAGAATAACATCAGTGATTGTTATATTTTAATGAGGATCGACAACCTGACTTCAGTAAAATGAAAGAAATTAAGCTCGCAGTTTGACAAATTGCGTAACCTATGCTGCAGCCTGCAACGTAAAGATTTCTCTCCTTCAATACTTAGTAGCGGCCAGCGCCCAAGTTCACTGCAGACCTTGATTAAAGCGACGGAGTGGAAAAACTGCATGAATATTCAAGTTGAAATATACAATAATTTGTATACTGAAGTTTCAGTAATGCTACTTTAGGACCGAGGTTATAACCGAAGGCCGCATTGACGCACGCATGACTGCGTTTCGTCAAAACAAACTTCGGCGTGGGCACGTCACTAGACTTGACGCTCTCTTGTTATCTTTTTTAAATTACAGTATGTGATGCACGTACCTGGATAGAGATTTGCCAATGTGTAGGCAATGAAAGCGATGTCGCTCAACAGCAGTAAAAATTTTGCTCCAAAGATTTGAAGAAGGAATGGAACCACTGTTGCATTTAATACTATTGTGGTCGCATAGCAAATTGCCAAACTTGACGTGCCCAGGGATTCTTCAAAATTTAACGACGATTGAAGATTTATCACTCCAGAAAATGCTGCAAAAATTCCGGCGGCGCCAATGGCGAGAAATGTGGATTGTCTGATTATAACACGTTGTTCATTTTTAAAATAATGTTCCTCGTTTTTTATCGATATTTTCTCGCTATTGTTATTATCTACCATTGCTTCAGTCTTTTCCCAGTCGTCTTGAGTGCCTGACTTGAATTCCAATTCAATTTCATCGCAATTTTCCTCATCGTTGGCCATTATACAGTAAACGTACAGTACGATATCTCATCGAATGTAATGTTTCGTACCTCACTGACCGCACGTCGCTTTCACTAATGCGATTAGCTGAAGGTTGAGAGGTACTTGACCAATCGTTAACGTTAGTACGAGTTTTATACTATTGTTCCGATTTGAACTGTTGATGAATATCGACTGATGTAATTAAAGGTTTGCATTGACAAAAAAGCATGCAATTTAATATATTCTGGCCAGGTATTTCATTAGACCAGGGACAAACAGTAGTGCGGTTCAATTCATGCTTAAGAAGAATTGATCCTATCGCTTGGTAATTCAGCATCCACAATCATTCACTTCCTAAATCTACAGTTATTTGAAAGTACACCAAAAACTCATACTGCTGATTTTTGGGGGTATTTCAATAAAATTCACTCAACGTCAGACGCGATCGACTGCTCGAGCAAGGCGGTCGACCGTGTTGGCCACCCCTGCTCTCGCTGATTTTGATACTTAACAATGTAACATCTGAATTCTTATTTCTACCCTTACTATAAACACAAAAATTATTTCTTTTAAGCGTGTCGCGTTGTCACTTTCTTCAGGTAAACTATACCCTGTACACATAATTCCGTATTTGAACGTAAAATGAACAAAGAAGGTTGGGCTATGTTTCATTTGACTTGAATTGAAGACTGCCAATTTCTTCTGATGTCTATGCAGTTATCTCTTGAACTCAATCGTTTCCGAAAGCTTGAACATTCGTTGTTTGGTGCTAATATTACCTGTGACTTGATAATTTTGGCCAGATCACATATTGGTCGAATATGGCTATATTATGTCTAATCATACTTCTGACAATTATTGATTATTATATTTGGTGTAAACTATTCACCATCAGCTAAGCATAATAATTTTGCCAATATGTTGCCATAAACTGTAGAATGCATCAAATGAGTAAACTCTGATTGAACTGCTTGGCGAGATAAATTGACAGAGAATTCAAAACTACCTGTCACTGAAACTGTCTATGCAGATTATTTCAATATACTTCGTAACTAAGTTGCACTTCATAACATTGATTATTATTATTTTTACACCCACATTTCTTTTAAATTATGGAGTTTTACAAAAAATAAATATTATTTTCGATTAGGCTAACTTTTACTAACTGTCTTCCCGACAATAAGCGTGTATTCTCATCCAGCAAAGAACAGCTGTGCGCCATAATAATTACCATTATCGTACGCATGCATGATATAACACATAAATTCAGATAGCGTGCGCAAAATAAACACGAAAATTTCAAAGTCCACAAAATGTTTATGAACGTTGATCAAATATGATACGATACCCGAGGTTTAAATACGTTGATATTGTCATTATCCGAGGAACGAAAATCGGTGCAAAACAGACTTGTAGACCTATCAATAGACTGTTGGTAAACTATCTAATTTCATTTAATTGATGTTGATATTAATTCAAATTGATTGTAGGATGTATATATTTAATTAATATGTCAGTAATAAAAATTCTTGCCAGCAGAGATTCTGCACAGTTTACGATTCTTTTTTATATAACTATTCGCTTTAAATTATGTTTCTATCCAATGATAACTTGTGGTTATTGTTTTGCTATTATTATTGCTTTTTCTTTATTGGAACGTAAATAATGAAATAAATGAAAATTCCAAAAACAAAAAAGAGACAATATCAAATCTAACAAATATTTTTTAATTAGCCTCACGCCCTCAAAAATTTGTCTACGCCACACCGCTTGAAAACCACTGGTCTAAATGTCTAATTAGATTTGATGTTTAAATTTGCGAAATATGCGCAAATATTTATTAAACTGTCTGCTTCAAACGAGGTTGTACAACTTGGATGTGAAGGCTATAGCAATCGACCATAACACAATTACCTTGTGTATTTTATTCCAAATCAGTCATAATTAGATTCAAATTGATAGTCGTTGTAATTAGTGCGCTTTGAAGTTAAATTGATAGCATGGCTGTACCAGACAGATATGCTGGATTTTTCAAAAGCATGAATGGGAGTATGATCGAGTATGAATATGTAGAGTATGACGGCCTCAAGAGGTTAAAATATAAGCATTTCACATATATTCCGTGAATTATCAACCCATCAAGACATTCCAAAAGTAAAGTAAAGTTTCTCCAAAATAATACTATGTCTGCAGAGCAGTTTGCAACGAATTATGAAATCGTAGCCGATTTTTATTTATACCTTTGAGCAAGCCAAATTGTTTGGTTTGGGATATCGAAGTCAAATGTATTAATTCCCCAATTGTCACGAGGTCGGGCAACTTCCTCAAAATTTGGGATATATATGGTAATTGGTCACAGAAAACATTTGGACGATACGAGGCCTGTTTTTGGCCGTTTTACGTGTTATGTCCACAATGCATCTGCAACGAGAAGTCGGCAAAAAAGGGGGCGTTCGACGGGAAGTTGCGTTCGGCGGGAAGTTGGGGGCTGGTTGACGCGTGTCGAGAATGAGTTACCCTGATATCGCCTACATACATCATACGAGTTTTAAGGCTTATTAAATTGGAGAATAGGTTCGGCAGTTCGTGATAGCGGCTAGCGCCGATCAAAGTATATCCGTTCGAGTTTTGCTATATTTAAATCCTTCCAGTTCTGACGGTGGACGACGCAAATTCTCTTGCTATTTTCACGCAATTGATTGATAAGTTGAAAATTTGCACGAACCTTTAAATTCTTACTGTCCAATCTACCTTTGTGATTAGCGTACTATGTTGCCTCATTGCCACCGACGAAGCCTCCTTTCTGGGGTGGGGAATAATTCACAAGGAATGCGCTATTCTATAATGTGGCGCTACATCCATTTTTAAAAACACGTTACTATCTCGAGGCTGTAATAAAACGCCATGGCACCAGAAAACTCATAGTCGCCATACCCCGCGCGTCGTCGTCTTTGAGCACGATTCAATTATAGATAAATAAAACTTATATATATATAACTGATGAATAAAATTATCAATTCATTTTTTGAAATAAACGGGTCTAAGATAAAATATGAATTTGAGGTACTTTAACGCCTTATTGTCTGGCAAAACTAATAATCAGATTGAGACGAGAAACTACGTCACGACGCGACTACGCGTTCCTATAAATATTTATTCGAATGCGGTAAATGTTTAGGCGTAAAAACGACGCGATGGAATTATAACAGTATTGTTCGTTTTAAATATTATAATTCCTAGTTTCAATAAATATTTGAGACCATAATTATCAACCTAATTGAACAAAGGGAAGATCTATAACATTTCAAACCGCTTTTATTCTAAAAAAAAAGTCTCTGCAACTCAGAAACAATTTGAAAAAGGAAAAAAAAAACTGCAAAATTGAATAACGAGACCCGTAAGAGTTGATGCTTCCAGGCTTCAGCCTACTCTGCCTTATGATATATCTCGAACTGCTTATAGGTGACACATCCATCTTCGACTATACTGAATGTTGAAAACGGTTGGTTCAGCGGTTCAAGGACAACGTCTTAAAATCCGATAATTTATGATAAACCGACTAATCATAACGCTGTAAGGAATTAAAACGGTGGTTGCTATAATAATTACATTGGATGGCACCGAGAGGCTATTAAAATTTGAAATTGGATTCCAAGAAATTGATAATTGCTATTGCGGAAATATTTAATTCTGTTTTTCATGCGTTTCTCACGAATTGGGCCAATTGGGTGTAGTTTTGTAGTTACATAACAACTAATTGGCTACAATCTGACTCGCGAATCAACCATCTTTGATCATATATATATAACAAAAATGAATGCGAACAAAAACCTCAACATATACTATACATCCTCTCATTTTCCAAACTGCCATTTTCTTCAGTTCTGTTAATATCGAATTACTGCAAGGGATATCGGTCCTGAAATAATAAATATGACTGCACTATTGAATACATTAGAGATATGCATACTAGAACACACGCAGTACGGAAATAACGCTACTTCTTGTCTGCTAGCTGCATTAATTTTAGACGTCTTTCTGAATTGTACGGATTTCCTTTGAACGGAAACCGTTGACACTGGAAACAACGTATACCTGTAGTAATATTTATTTGCAATATTATTCCCTCGACGATTAGAACAGTTTTAATTAGAATGCCTCAAAGCGTCGCCTAAACGTAAATCCGCATCGTAAACTTCCAGAAAAATGATGGGCAAACAGCATTGATGGAACTCATGAAGCTAATGATGGCAATATAATGAATGTAAGTTTCTTAGTAAAATTGCCAAACTGGTGGCGTTCCGGTTCATGAGTTGGTTAAGAGTTTACAAAGCGTTCGAGTTAACGGAGTGACGGTAACAGTGAAAACATTTTAATAGTTTATTGGCATTCTTAACTTTGTTGAATATCAGGAATAAACAATGCAGATTGTTTCTACAAATTTCAAAATAATATAATTCAACGCGGTGTGACATCTATGTGTGAAGCTTGATGTTGTGACATCTCTAAATGCTTCCTGAGCTTACACTTGAGTGGAAATTTCCAATTAACAATTTCATTTTATTCACTTGTAACCTCCGAATTAGCTATGAAACGAATATGAGACAAAAGACTATGTATCAATTTCTGTGTATTCATATCAAACATTGAAGAGAATAAGAGAATGCTGATAACTCAGAAAAGTAAGTAATAAATCAACTAATAAGAATTGTTCTAAAACATTATTACGTTTCAGAGGCACGACCATAAAACGATTTAATCCAATGTATTTAATCCAATGTATATAAAGGCACTAGAATGTAAAATCATCTTAATTTTGAAATCAAATATTGAAATGAAATATATCACAAATATTTTCAAATTCTTTTATACTGCTTTTTAAATGCAACTGAAATTTAAATGCAAATTCAGTAAAACAATTTTAAAATATAGCAAGATACAGTATATGGCGTTAACCAATTAACTGTTTAAAGCTCAAACATTCACTGCTTTCTTTTAAAAAAGCGAATACAGAAAAAAGATTATTACATCTGGAAAATGTGAAATGACATTCAAATCGAGTGCGGTAGACCGTTGAAAGGGAATGAAATTTGTAGCTGCACATCAACAGCTCGATTATAAAACATGTTTGATAAGCAATTCAAAATTTTCCAAAAAACTCAAAAAATAGTGAATTCCAGAAAACGAATAACACTTGCATATACTTGGAATCCACATTCCAACAAAGAAATTTTCTAAAGAAAGATGTAAACTAAAAGTGGGTAATGGATAAAACGGTATGGTAATCAAATCAGACACTGTTGCAAAAAAATGCAATGGCTATGCATATGTTATACTGAAATACAGTATCTTTGAATTCAATTAGAATGATGCTGTTCCTTCAGTTTGACAAAAAACATTTTATATGGTGTATTTTCATGCCAATTATTGTTTATTAAATTTAGTTTTCATTTTACAAATGTGTATGTTTCTGTTACCAAATAGTATGATTGATGAACTATATACAGCGTTTAATATGGTTTATTATGCATTATTAGTTTTTTACCCGCCCGCGATTTCCTATGTGGCAACGCAAAAGTTGACACTGGTCTAACATAATCAAGAAAAAGCAATAATAATAGCAAAACAATAACCACAAGTTATCATTGGTTAGAAACATAATTTAAAGCGAATAGTTATATAAAAAAGAATCGTAAACTGTGCAGAATCTCTGCTGGCAAGAATTTTTATTACTGACATATTAATTAAATATATACATCCTACAATCAATTTGAATTAATATAAACATCAAGTGAATGAAATTAAATAGGTTACCAACAGTAATAATAATAATAAAAAAATAAAAACCAAAATAGTTATATTACAAGCGACGGAGAGGAAGATATTTCACATCTAAGGTTTAACATAAGATGATATGATCGAATAGAATGGTGATATTGGCATCAATGATCTGACGTATTCTTGTTTACAATAGACAACCATTGTAAATTAAATTATTGAATGTTTAAGATATTTTATCCATACTATATTATAATATCTTAAATATTCTGTTTCTACTTCATGATAAGGAAAAGCAAACTATTCGTTTGCGAGTGTAGAATTTATGTTATTATACAAAAAACAGGCAGTTTGGTAATATTATCTAGAAATCAAACCGGCTGTGCTTGTTATAAATTGGAAGCTGATTTATTTTTAATTGTAGAAGTCTCCTCTATTTGCAACGTTGGTCATAGAAACTATATATACAGACTTGTTATCAGTATCTTCCTAAATCAGGCTACTCATCGCCTAACTTGGAACCTTTTTTATCACGAGTTATCAAGATGTCTTCAGGATTTTCCGCTGTTCTGTAAAGTCTGTGAAAGTCGACAATAAATTTTATGAAGCAGTTTAAACTCGTCACATTAACAAAATACATATATTGATGATAATAGCGAGGAGTAAAAATATTGTGCTTGTGATTTGTGGAATTTGCCTATACGTTTAACAAGATGAAAAAACATACACTAGAAGAATATTATCGATAAAAATATCGAGGTCTGGTTTATATTGAACATATCACTCACCTCGGGGCAGATTTTACAGTTGTGTCTCTAGTATGTGGATTTTTCCTGGGATTTATCGATCGTGCTCCAGCATGAGTAAACAAATGGTTCGCGGTAGAAAGATATCTAGGCGGCAAGCCATGGCATCGGGCTAAAATCATTGCTTGTTGCAAAGAACATGCAGTTGTTGATCTAAAAATAAAATAGAATTATATATACTACAAAATTGTTTGTGTTACACATAGAGCATAGAACGATAAAACAAATTTTCTTTGGTCCTGTTGGATCTTGGCTTACCTGTATACTCCATTATTACATGACATAATGTGGCAACCACCCAATCGGTGACAAAATTCTGCAGAAAGGCTCAATACTCCACAACCGGTGTTACTGAGATTAGGGCTGTTGGCTCGAGGCTTTACGTGAGCTTCGATCAATTGCATCACTTCATCTAGTGCATTCAACGGGCGTGAAAGCTGAAAACGGGAAAGTGTGTTTTGATTAATTAAGACTTAAAAATAAACGAGAGAGAAATGCTCAAATTTATGGATACGAAAGCCGCGCGTCTGTATCGGTACTAACTAGAGATGTATCGATATCGGCCATTCTTCGGTATCGGATAAATGTAGACCGATATATATATACCTTTTTGATATGATTTAAAATTATTTTAAAAGATAGGTTAGTGTACAGATGTTAAAATTATTTTTTTGCGCAGAGGGGTCATTTTTGGCGCATCTGCCTCGTTAACTCTCCTGAGGAAATCTATTTAGTAGTAGCGAAATTTTTAAAATGTCAAAATTTGGGGTAAAGCAATGAATAAAAAAACAATTGTGGTTAAAGAGCTGTTTATAAAACAGTTGCTCTTGGTTCACTCACCCGATCTATCATTACAGCTCTGGCTTCAGTATCACGAGGAAGTTTGGATCTGTCGAGATGGAATGCTCGGAATTTCTTGTAATAATCATATGTTTTCTCCAGAGCTTTTTCGTTTAGAGAATTCAAAAACTCGTGTAACGTAACACCTTGCTTATATAAGAAAGATCCAACGTCTTCGAGACCTGTAACACAATTTACATCAGCATTAAACAAAACAGCAATGCTTAAATATATGAACACGGTTATTAATGGTCGCGAAATTTTTTAAAAATGACAAAAACAAAATGTCCAGGAAAAAACAGAAAACAATAAAAACGACAACAACATTGGTGTCCAAATTTTCCGATGGCGTTTCTACATATAAAAGCATTTCATTTAAACATTGAATAGTGTCAATTCAATTTACATATCTAACTCTTGCTTCTACGATCACGATAAGGACATGAGTTTGCGCTCTCGTACATTTGCACTCGTTTGCCACGCTTGAATTTTGTCTCTGCATTCTTTGATACCTCGTACAATTGGCACCGAACTATTGCTCCGAGCGTAGGGCTAGACTTAGGTTGTAACTCGTGTCGTAACGACGTAAGTAAAGCTTTAGTGGAAGTTGTATTAATTGAATATATGCATGAAATACGTTTGAAAATTCTGAAATCAACTACAGCATGATAATATCTAACCAACGACACCAGTCTAGTAAAAATGTTTCAGATTGAACTTACCATGGTTAAACATAACAGGCACAATCTTCACCCCTCCTCCAGCTTGTAATCTCGGTGGAAGTTTGATGAAAATATGTTTATCGAGATGGAAATTTACTTTCAGCGCACTTCGGTTGCCTTCCATGGTATATCCGATACCGTTGACTGAAAATAACAAGCAATTAAATTTTAAAATAGAAAAGACGATTTTGGTCAATTTTATAAGCGGCATCGTTTGTAATTATAAAAACTTATAATGCAAAATCATTTCAATAAGCCATAAAGCATTGAAATAAGGCTGAAATCACCAAAATTTGTCTGCAAATTATGGGCTGAAAGTCGGAAAAATAATACGCTGGAAAAAGTTTTAAAAATCTTAAAAAGTAACATGCAACACTAAAAAAGACCAATTTACCTTAGAAAAAATATATTTCACAAATGAATTATAATTTTGTATTGTTAATTTTAGATATATACTGTTATTGATGGAGAATGAACTCCCGAACTGAATGGTGTGATAATTAAAAACGACGGTTACCAAAAACATGAACAAATTTAGTCGTATTTACTGAATTATACATGCGTATTATATACGATGTTTTGATGATGAATGTGTGACTGTTTTGGCATAGTTTCTTACCATCAACTTGTACAGGATCGTTTGACATAAAACTTGTTCTTGCATTTGATGGATAGTCTTGTTGAAATAAAGAAAGAAAAATAAAGAAACAAACATAATTTTAATTAGTTGAAAATAAAATTATCGTGCAAATATCAAAATTTGATTGCTTTTGTAACATAAAACGCACTTAGGCAAGATTGTAGGAACGGTAAAACACATCGACGCCAAATTTCAAAGAAATTTGGGACATTCCGACGCAAACCAATATATTAAAGATATACAAAACACAAATAAGCATTCATTATCTGTTGATATTTATTTTACAGTGTGTATTTAACTCAAATCAAGGCACTGAATATACTCAACTTCAAGTTTTGGGGCTACTTATGTACTATACTTTTATTGAAAATTTGGTACAGTCGACTCAATTAGTCATAGTCTACCTAATTTTATGGTATGTACAGTACAGGGGACTACCGCATATATATATATATATACAACTGCTTATACCACAATTGAACAATTCCTGCGGAATATAATTTTGTTCTGCACTCAACTTAAAAAAAATATGTATCTATGAGTTTTGGTTTAAATAAACTAAAATTTACGAAAAAAAATTTTTTTGATGAATGTCATTTCATTATAATCAACTCAAAGTAAAGTAATTGGTTATTGCCATTTCCTGCGATCGATGATCACAAGCCAAAAAAATAATAATGGAAATTATATCTATAGAAGGTAATAAAAATTTGCTATAAGCTTGTATAGTCTGTAAACCCTTATTTACCATTAGGTTCAACTTCTCCTGTGATAGCTCTGAAGTGGAAGGAAACTCTTTCCAGATCATATATTCCAACATAACTGTCTTCCAGCATAGCGCATTCATCCGGCTAAAAGTTTGTTTAGAATTTGATATATATAATAAACTAATTCAATCACTATGAAAAATAAGTAACAAAATAAGTACAATATAAATTTTTCGAGCATGTATTCATTAATTCATTCGCGATTTTTTGAACCGTTTCAGTATAACGTAAAGGGCTAAAAGTCAATTGTAATCTAAAGTCACTATTTATACAGTCATGAAAGCAATAATACAGAAATATGCTACGACTGAAGCATAATTAAAAATAATACCATGTTCAAATTTAGGTGTGTCTGGAATAGAACCAGCACTCCGATAGACGTTGCTTGTTCCAACCATTTCTTGCTTGCCTCGTCCCCTCGTACTCCGTAAGCCTGGTAAGTGAAAGCAGGTGACTTTGATAAGTGAAGATATTCGATATTTAGAAAAGAGGAATAATAAATACTCAAATTGCTTGTTAAAGAATCATATACCTTATATGTGCGCATAAAAAAGAAAAACAACTTAAAGCGATAACCCTTACCTTCATATTATTGAATACATTGTCTAATGCGCATCTCAACTGAGAAGAAAACGACGTAATGACGCTGATCAGTGCTTGAGAAAAGACTTTATCTCGCCTTGAAACGAGTTTAGGATCTGACAAACAGAAAAAATATGTTATTTGCATAATTCTTAGAAAGTAAATTTACAGTACCAATAAAATGGCATGTTTTTTTGTTTGTTTAAAATCGAGTTTTTTGACGTCCTGGAATAAACAAACATTTTTGCAGCATCAGTATATATACAATGATTTTTGCAAATAATGGTCAATTTTGTAATAATGTCCAAACGTCATGCTAAAAAAAGATTGACTGCAACTATTTGATTTGTTGGGTTAAGTTAACATTATGATAATTTCAGTTCTCAGATATATGTGTTTTCAAGGTACCTTTAATCGTTTCCAGGTATGGGCTTAATAGTGACCCTAACTGTTAACACTCATTTGTGTTGTATTTTCACACCCATTGATGTTTTATTTTTAAAAGATTACAATGTAACTTCATACCTTCATTCAGCAATACGGTCAACACCAGTTGTGTTCGTATCTGTGATATATGTTTGTTCATTGCATCTATAAGTGTGTGAATAACACCTGCGAACTGGACAGTATCTTCGCAAACAGCTAGAGACATTTTGACGATGTCATCACTTGTTCTGAAAAATAGAAATATTCATTCCGACTTTCTATTCAATTTTCATTCAGCGTTAGATCTAACATGGCTCTACTATTATTAGAAGGACGTAAATAGTTTAAATTTGTTCTAGCTACAATTAATTTACATTATCACTATAAATATCAGTGAATGGAATGGCCAATTGTACTGTTTCAATTTATTATTATTTGCACAGTCGTACGTAAAATGCATTTTAAGCTATGGAAAGGTAATGAAGAGTTAGTTACTCAATTTTTCCCAAGCCACCGTCGCATAACCAATGACTTGAGACCTGGAGAGTTTGAGTCAACATGTGAAAAACTCGACGATTTGGAAAAAACAATTGGCTTTGAAATTTCGTTACCATAGAAACTATCTTTAGATAAACAAGTGAAATGTCAAACTGAATGAAGGGTCGTACTTGTAGCACCAACAGAAGTTATTTAAAGAAATTACACTCACTCGGCAGCTAGATTATCAATTATTTCTTGATATTTGACTTCGGGAGTTATATCTTGAGTTTCTCCGAAAACCTTCTGGACAACGTCGTTTCTCACAAGTTCGTTTATGTTTCGAATCTATTTGAAAAAAGTTAAAAATAATCATCTCCGCCTATTTGAACTATTGTTTTAAAATTAAATGAAATAATTCATTCCACCTTTCCCAAGAAATGTTCCATTGTTCCTTGCAATTTATCCAATGCGTCGTTTGATAGAACGAGATCGATAAAATTAATGCTTTCAACCCCTTCAGATGAACAAGTGCTTTCAGTTTTGCTGATTACGGAGATACGGTCACGTCCTAAACGATATATATAATTTTTTTTAAATTAGAACTAAGAGAAACCTGTAACATAGTTCACTATCCAGTGTAAGAGGATTGAACCTCGGAATATTGATCTCGGAATAGCTCATACTTTTAAAATTTTGCTTAGATTAAACTAGAATTAAAATTATTAGTATCTCTAAATCAGCCAGTTTCACAAAACAATCATAATATACCTGTATAATTTTTACATAATATATCATTTTACTTGGTTTAAACCGTGATTTCAACGCAAAAAGGGCAACTTCGGACAGAAACTTCCATAAGCCTAGTTTCTGAAAACGACTTATTTGGATATGGCTCATTTCTAATTTCCATAAAAAAAACATGTTTGTGCATGCATAATGGTAACGTTTGCTCAACTACAATGAATAATTGGGAAGTTTCAGCAAAATCGAAAAGAAAAGGTGACAAATTCTCAAATACCTGAAAATGTCACCCTCGAGTGTGGACGGGGTTTAGATCTAAATCGTACTGGAGAAGTCGCGTTGCCGCCGGGTGTTGGTGGACTCCTGTCATTGTGAAGAAAAAAAAAACATAAAACCTTTTTTTTTTAATTTTGTACAAAACAAGAAATATATGAATGCAAAAAAGCTTACGATAAAGAAGGCATCGAGGACGATTCTTTGATTCCCTTAGATCCATCTCCGTTAGCCAGACTATCTTCTGGAAGTGCGAGAGACATTCTTTGATTGGGTTCAGAGGTTGTGCTACTTCCGCTATTTGACCCTGCACATAGAACATTTGTTATCGATACAAATGATTTGCTGAAGACTTTTATTTATAAAGAATAATTTCAAATTTTAGGCAGGCTCCATTCAATTTAAAAACTATAGCAAAATCGATAACAAATTTAATAGGGCGAATACCGTTTTGCTCCGCTGTGTTACTCGGTGATTCATTGGCAGATGGGGTTGTGAAATTGAATATAAGTTGTTTATCATTTACCAACATTGAACCTCGGTTACTGTGGATACCTGTAAATAAAAATAAGAACGCTGCTTCTAACTGTGGACGGAAACATTAGAATAAAATTTACCGATATATTATAAACTATGATATAGTTTTTGGGAAATTTTATAAGCTTGGTAACACGTACTAAAAAGGTAATTTTTTTATTATTTTTAACTAAACCACACAAAACAAATTTAAGTGTCATTTTTAGTGATATAAAATACAGAATTTCAAAATATTATTTGCTTCAGATAAAGATCCGCCCAAAAGTAATTGTTCAATGAACATAGGCAAGTGGTAATTCTTCGAAAATTACCTGAGTCACATTCAGAATCGTTTCCGGCTTGTGAACCATCGTCTAAAATCGACTTTCTTTTGTTTCCAATGTTGTTTCCGTTTGTCAAATGTTCTTCTGCTGTAGGAGTCGTCATATCAGGCGTATTAACTTCAATGGTGGGCGATAAGACCGACGCTGGGATTAAAAAAAAAGATGAGACGAATCCTGACTAACGTTTTCCAGATCTCAAACCAGAATTACTTAGTCAAATAGATAAATGATCTTGAAACAATTAATAGCGAGTTTTGCGAAAATAAGAACCAAAAACAGATATAAAACATTAACTGGTATATGCATATTTTTAGTGGTTCATGATAATTCAATAACGATTTAGTATTTTTTAATTGAATAGTATTGAAAAATAAACTTAACCCCAACTTACTTCTATTAGAACTTGGATCAAAATCACTGGCCCTCGAACTTCTATTTGATTGTGTGTCGAATACCCCGCTCATCTGATAAAAATGTATTACAACGCAAGGTTTATACAAATGAACGATAAAATAGGCAGTATAAGTGGGATGTGAGTTGAAAATATGGGAAAGATGACTCCGAAAACTAGCATATTCCCGAAATAAATTACCAATTCATTTTCTCACCTACTCGGTATATGAGATGCAGAACACGCATATTTGGGCCTAAATCTGGAAACACATAACGCAGTTTTGTTGGGTAAATGATTGTCTTACATCTTGCCAAATAACAATTATTGCGATATTATTTGATAGACTGTACTTCTTACCCTTTCTCGGGGCGGGCTAGAAGCCTTATCACTGGCGAAGAATGTGGAAGGAGACACGGGCGTGGTTGGAGTCATATCACTGCTTACAGATCCTATGTTTGCATATAAAGGAGTCGGTTGAAATGAATTTCTTTTCCCATCAGTGCGAGGTTCGGAATTCAAAATTCTGAAAACAATATCAATATTTTAAGCAAAAAGTAGTATTCAAATAAGACTGGTGAGTGACAGAAGTTTTAAGAGGTCCCACTTTGGTATGAGGTCTCCTTTGCTCAACGTGATCCCAATTGCATATCGAAGAGGCACCAATTGCGGTGCCACTTCGATTTGAGTTTAATATCATAAAGACATTCTACTAGAATTCAATTCCTAACCCTAACTAAAATCACGAAAATCGAACAACCGCATACCAAGGTAGCACTTTCCACCTTATAAAATTGCAACAAGTTTATAGATTATTAAGTGCAAAATAACTTACTCTAAAAGTTGATCTTGACAGTGTCTAACTTCGAGCATAGCTTGATCCAGTGCCACCATCAACTGTCTTATTTGATCCATGAGTTCCATATTTCCTTCTACACCACGTAGAACCGCCATGAGGCCGTGACCTTCTCTTCCTCTGGAGCGGTGCGATGGTGCCGCCATACAAGTAATAACGTCATTAGTGTTCACCATTTCGACATTTTTTGCTAAAAAAAGAAACCATGAATAAAATTACAATTTGGTTACAATGTGAATATATATAATTCCAACCGCCAAAATTCTGAATTGTTCTACACATACTTAATATTAATATTATTTAATCGTTTAAAATGCTACGTTATTGTGTGGTGGTATGAATTAGTGCGTCTAACATCACACGGAGACAATGAAAATAGAGAATATAGTAATGTACGTACTTATTTCGGTGTTTTCTGCTTCAGATTTGGCGTTCTGCAGGCCCAATCCACGTAAATTGAATTTCTCAGTTGTGTGCGAAACCTGAAGGTTTCAAAATACATTAAATTCATTATAGTTGCTCACTAAAATGCTGGAATAAACAAGTTTAATTTCATTCATAGAAATATAATATAATATAAAAATACGAAGGAAACAAAAGATATAGCTCAGACTTGGCCGAAGTTATTGTAATATGCATAATGTGCTATTTATGCAAACATCGGAAGTTAGAGATGTTATCTCGTGTTCGTTTATTGTTAAGGATAAAAGAAAATGCTTAAGCTATGCCATGTCTGAGACTTTTCCAATACACCCTCCACGGCATTACTTCGACTCTTTGTTTGGAATTTCTTGGTCTAAATTCTAGTCTATAAAGCAAGAAACGCCTCAATAGAGGCTGCAAAAGTTTGTCGTTACGTCAAATGTTAATGGGGCTTATTAGATCTTTATATATGATTGCCACGGATCAAAGTTATTGTGAAAAGAGGGCGATGAAAAATATTAGTCTATTCTTATTACCTGCATAATATTAATGTGACAATTAGTTGGGCAGAAATCTTTTGCGGATCCAGTACCGGGTCGATCTTTGCTTTCTTTATAAGAAGGCCACATGTATGATCCGAGGTGACGTTTGTACTGAAAAAATGTGCAATTGTTATTCTACAGCATTCGTTTTATTTGCAAATCTGCATGTTTGGGAAAGAATAAGAAATTCCGCAAGCAAATCAAGAAATTAGCCACAATATTTTTTTTGTCACAATTGTGAAGTTTTTCGTGCTGTCAGCATTACTCACCCTTTTGTAATTCTCTAGTCGCTCATGAATCACGTCATACCGTAGAGTTCTTCTTCTCTCAAATATTTCTCTTTGTTGTTCTCTAATAAGATTTACTGCACTTTCCAAGGCTTGAACATCTGCAAGGACTCGCTCGTCTTCTGCTGTCAAGACTTCCAGAAGCTGAAAATTAGCACATCATGATAGTTGTGTAGTACAATAATGGTTTGAGGTATGGAAGTTCGTATTTAAAATCTGTAAAATTACGAGCCCGTCCGTTGATCCAAAAGGCAAAGAATACAGACTCAACTATAAATTAGCCTACAACGAAGTAAACCTAAAATATAACTCGCAGGAACGGATAGAGTTCGAAACGAGCCACCGCCGCCAAGGGTGTTCAGGAACTTTTAAACGGAATAAGTAACAAGCATAATTTTGAATATATAATACATCTTCGGTAATGGGAAACGATTTAGTAGTATCCTATTATATAAAAACCATTTTTCTTCTATGAAAACTAGTTTCGACTTCAAATTACCATTGCTGCAAGATCAAATATTGACGGGCTCTCTGACATCTTCTCAGTCACTGATGTTCTTACTCCGTTTACATTGTCGTATTCGTAAGTTGTCATTCGTTCAAGATGACGATTACCAACGACAAGCTGAAGTGAAAGAATAAAATTTAAATGAAAGAATCACAGATGGAGATTATCTTTGAGGAAAGAAATATTATAATGCAACTTATCATTTCAACAAATAATTTGCGAACCGCAATTGTGCTGGAATGTCAATTTGAATTGCATATATATAGTGAAATACTACTGCCCTTTTGCAATAATTTGCAGAAACAAAAAAATAATAATTTCCCGCATAAAGTTTCATATTTACCTTCAAAGCGTAGGGATCGTCTTTCTTATCCGGACCAAGCGGTGTAGGCTCGCTGAAAGTCAAAAATATTTAGTTTAAAAGATGAAACCAAAGGCAATAAATATAAAATTATGAATTATGCAAAACAAAATTACATTTTATTGTCCTTCAGATTTGGTGTTCTGATTCCTATTTTCATAGCGATTTGTTTCCTGCGGTCGCTCTTAGATCGTTTTAATCCACTTCCTGGGATTCCAAGTGTCAATTTTCCTGTCGACTGCAAAAATAATATATTTGATAACAAAAATCTTGTATACAACGTTGGATGGCCTAGCCCAAGGACCTCGAGTAAAATTGAACCGCCACGTATTGCACTGAATAAAACCAAATGTTTTATATAAATACTGATCTACAAAACAAAATACGCTATGATTTCTCACCCCGTCTACTTGTTGCTGCTGCTGTTCTTCAATTTCAGCATTATTTTCTTTTTCTTCTTTGTTCTTTCTATTTTCTTCTTCCTCTGCGATAACTTTACAACCATCTCTTATTGCAGCGGCGACTTCGTCGTGAGATGAAGCAATGACGTTCACGTTGTTCACCTGCAATCAATTGATGTGATTAATGTATAGAACCCGGCACGCACCCGCAGGTAGCGCATGTTCTGTAATAAATGCACATTTCCCAGGACAGAGATTATTTGCGCTGATTATTTGGTTTCTGCGAGACTAACTACTTATCCTTCTTCTATGCTTTTGTGCCGGTGGATCCGTATGCATATATTGCAAGGATGCTGTAGCAAGAGTAGAGATAACAATCCTAAGTGATTCAAGAGTCTTGCTGCACACTAACACAAATATATTTCTGTAACGTTTCGTCTGACCAAGGTCAGACTTCTTCAGACATACATAGTTCAACTATACTTGAACTATGTATGTCTGAAGAAGTTGAAACGTTACAGAAATATATTTGTGTTAGTGTGCAGCAAGACTCTTGAATCACAGAGATTATTGATTGACTTTGAAAACGCAAACAACCAGAAAATGTTAAAATTACTGTTCTGAATTTATTCATTTTTAAATTATACAGCTCCATGATATTGACTACAATTTCCAAATGTCTGAGCCAGTGTTACAGCAAAGTTTCTCATCTGCTACAGGGATCATGACATCATAGTTTGAAATTAATCATGCTTACTCTTTCATGAGTTCCACTTGAACATATTCGACCGCATTCGCCAACACCCTTCAAGATGAAATATGCGTATAAAGTCATTCAACTGAATTCATACCTTTAATATTGATTGGCCTCTGACTAGACCAGCGTTCATGGCCATTCCTCCTTTAGTAACAGCGTGCACAACGCATGGATTTGCGCTTCTGATTTGAAATCCCATTCCTTCTCTTGTAACTGGAATGGATACAGATCTACAAAACAACGAAAGAAATTCTAGTAAACTGTATTATTAATAATCCACGAAGGAAAAATTTTAATTCAGTTGAAGATAGCATATTCTGCTATACCTCCACAAATTTAACACATCTGATACTTTAATTCCATAAGCATAGTATACTTACATGTCGTCTTCGGCCTTCACAGTAACGTACAGAAGTTTGTGATTTTCTAAGTTTTGTTTCAATATGGCTTCGTAATCTTCTTGTGATTTACACTTGAACAATGGTGAATAATTAATACAGAGAATAGCTTGGCCTGGGAGAAGTCCTTGAACCTAAATAGAACATTATACTGTTAGTATACTCAATACTGTAACTAGAAATTTGAACAAATACCAAATAGCACAAAATACGCACATGAGTAATGCTCAAAGATATGTACGTCAGTCGTCCTTGAGAGAATATGAAGGTAATATCAGTCTCAAAGAGTTTCTACCTTCAAATTACGAAAATTTGAAAGAGATTCACCATGGTTAAAACATTTTCCCACAATAACAACAACTGAATAGCAAGACGATCTATAGTTGAATATTGTGTATAAAAAAAACTGAATCATTAGGAGTTGATAATTACTTGTGCTTGTGATGCTCGAATGATAGCTGTTATTATAACCGCGTTGTGATGATCGACATACAATGCCTCAAATCCTAAAGGTTCATCAGGATCCGTGTTTAACTAAAAAACAATAATAAGTCAGAGTCAGATAACAAATATGTAGGTTGATTTAGGGTACACTCAATTAGTAATTCAATTAACAAACATTCAATAATTTGGATTTGCATTGTAAATAATTTTGACTTTGCCTGAAAAAATGGTAAATTTTTCAAAATATTCCATTGACTTTCTATCTATTGTCTTAAACTACAATAATTACATATACTAATAAACCAAATGTTCAATTGATTTAACTATTCCTTCGAAACATACCAATAATACAGTTTTTGTTTTGTAACTCTCGATGCATCTGAAATCCATTTTCTGGTTAACTTTTTTCACTAAATCTCTCAGTTTGTTTGACGATTCACTTGATTCTTCGTCAGGCCAAAATTTGAACAAAGATGAATCATCCTTGAAGTCAGTTTTGTCCAGAGCTGTATTCGAATAGAGAATGTAATATTATAATATAACACACTCGTGAATCATGACACGACTTATTCTGATGTTATACTTGCAATAATATTGGGTTTAATATATATGTTTATTAAAAGATAAACCAAATCCAAGATTAATAGATGTGGATAACAATCTTTTATCATATGGTGCTTATGTTATATCAAATAAAAAAAGTTGTAAGATAAGGATTGATAACATTTTACCAAATGCATATAATTGTAAGCTTTGCTTCAATTAGTGTTACAGTTTAATCAAACAGTTCAAAACATTGTATAGGTTTTGTTTTACTAATAACATTCCTCCGAAACCCAATAGATTTGTTGATAAATTCTCAATCAGAACAGCACGTTCTATGAGCTATTTTCAAATGAGGTAAGTGATCAAGGTTACTAAGACACAGAAGTAGCATGAGAGTCAGGATTCTCAGGAACACTTATAATGTTATCTTATTCATGGCTAACTGGACGATCGAAACACTTACCATGATGCAAAATATTGTTCTCGCACAAACTCTGTCCTAGATTACAAACTTCTTCTCTTCCTTTACAATCTCCTTGTTCAATGATCCAGTCTATTAGTTTACGGGCTTCAACCACTTGTTTGTAACTTCGGAGGTTTCGGTCTTTGTCTCTGTGGATACAATAGTTGTATTTAGGGTCTTTAATAGTATATCATTCAATTACTTACATTACTTTGAAATCAGATAAAGATCAGTGCAATTTTTTTTATTAGTAATTACACAAGTAAGTGATCAGTTGTGCAATAAAAAGATAAATATGATTTATGAACTCGTAGAATCGTATTCAAAATGCAACATTGGCATTACCAAAATTTGGATCAGAAATGAATTATACAATGCAATCACTTATGCCATAAGGTGTGCAACATTTTTTGTCGGTAGGCCATATAACCAACTTCAGACATCTAGTCGGGCCACAAAAAAATAGTTTTTCCATGTACACATCGAATTTAAAAATCAGCGAGAACCAGAGCTCAGCGGGAAAGGCAAGAGAATGGAATGCGGCTTTCGCTTAGCCTTCCAGCAATAAAGGCACCTGGCAAAACGACGAAAGATATAACGCAGCGAAAAGAGCAAAAATTATTATGTAATTTTGCCCATGTGGCCCCGATGTGGGCGCCTTTTTGAACATAAACTGTTGGATTAGGATTTTATACTTGATAGGGAAAATTCACCACACTAAATGGCATGTCGAGCCTGGTTGTGGCCCTCGGGACGCCTGTTGCACACCCCTGACAAATATACATACAAAGCATGGAAAGTATGAAAGTACTAACCTTACAACAGGTTGAAACAGACAGTGAACACGAGCATATATTCTCAACCCTTTTGCAATCAGATCCTGGCTTTCTCCTCTTGCCTTAAAAGTACCGTCATCGTACCGAAATCTGTATAGAACGTTCTCGTTTTTGAAATGATGTTTGTCTGCAACTGTGAAAAGAGGTATAACATGAGAAATGAAAGATTACGTATTGTATTTTGTAAACTACTTCTGCAAATGTGATTTATTTGTCAGTGCAGGGTTTTAGAATTGACAGACTATTCATACTTAAATCGGGATCTATAACTTGGTATCAGCACATTGAGTTTATGTATCTTAGTTTATAGAAACGAAAAATGGTCATTCAAAAATTGAATAATTACCATGATGTAAAATTCCACAATCCAGTAATGCTTGTCCAAGCATGATAGCTTCGTCAACACTTTTTGATTCCTTGTTTTCAACCAGCCATTGCACAAAATCGCTGAAATGGGATAAAGAGTTAAACACCTAGGTATATATAGTATTCCCCGTCGTTATAATATACAGTGGCCCCGCTTTTGCATTGTGTCACGTTGATATGGAGAAATTAGGTTTCAGAATAATAGTGATCTTTTATATTCGGTCTAGTCTACCCCTGACATGGGCAAACTACGGTCGACGGGCCAAATCCGGTCTATTTGATAATTCAATCTGGCTCGCCCGATGCTGCCACAATCAAACCAAAACCATTTTTTTATGTTTTAGCTGAAAAATAGCTCAAGGATTTTGTTGAAATTGCCGTTAAATTTAGTTTCGGCACGAGGCTTATTGTTTTCCACTTTTGCAACACGTAAATATTGTTCACAATATGTAACTTTTTGCTTCACACTTACATGGCCCGCCAGTCTGCGTAAGCAAAATTTTTGGCCTCTGGTACAAAAACCTTGTCCACCCCTGGCCTACCCGATACTTTTGTTCAGAGAGAGTGAAGAAATGCGGGCGGGTTGGACATGCCTAACTGAGGCTCGAACCCCCGATGCGTCCAATATCAAAGATATATTAATTTTATTTTGTTTTGATTCAATTGTAGATTGTTTATCGAAATCTTTTAATACCTGCATAACTCATGAATCAAATATAATATACATTTCATTAAAATTATAGATAGTTTATACACGCAGGGTGCTAGAAATAAAGGGACATTTGGTATTGCTATTCACGTTGTAAATAACAATATATAGTATATTCATAATTGGCATAAAATGTAACAGGTTATTTATATCAATGTATAAAACAACGATGAGTTAAAATTGGAAGTACACTAGTACCTTCCGACAAGTGCTTTCGGGTGTGTTCTCAACCAATCTTTTCTATCTTTTATCAAATTATGATTCGTAGCTTTGTAATACAATCTTCTTCCTTTACTGTGCAAAACATCGATGGTGTCTCTCTGATCCATGCTTACTTTACCTAAAAAATATTAAATTCGTATATTTAAGGCATAGATTTTTATAGAACTCATATGGATATTTAAAATAATTGGATGCACGCTTTTTGAAACTGAAACTTTTTCTCATGGCCACTGTATCTGGTCAAGTCTAATTAATCAATAATGTGGGCATTAGCAATGTTTAGCATTACTTTATTTATATTCAGAAGTCATCGAGGATCGCTAATATTACAACGTTGTATACTCGAAAACGCGCCATTAAATTATGATGCCAATATATACGTGTGAAATATAACAACAAAATCTATTCTTCCTATATTCTTTTTTATATTTTTTCGTCATTATTTTTTTCACTAGCCTAAACGAGATTTAATAATATCTATTATATATACATATAACCCGGATATTTATCCGGTATTTTTCAGATGCATTTTCTTCCTACGGAAAGTACATTTCTATGAGGTTCACGTTTATGTGCTAGAAGCACTATTAATATACCCGACGCTTCAAAACGTCATTATTGTTGCTATAAATTTATTTCACAACAATCCCACTTTGAAACGATTATTGCCAAGCCTGGGCCCTACATAAATTACGTCCATGAGTATTAATCCACCTATGATCCATATATGTTTCATTATGCCCTGCTGGATCAAATTAAAACACCTACAAACTCCATTATTTCACTTTTCATGAAATGCAATACTTGGAATTATTGGCATGATAACGTAATTTCAATATTAAATCATTCCACGAAAGTAAACTTTTAGTCAGATTTGGCATTTTATATTATAATATGACATCAATATAATATGTACAAATCCGTTATAGTAACAGTAAAATGAGAACATTTGGTAAGATATTACGGTCGGGCATTTACAGAATGTTCTTGAATTCCAGCGTTTCCTCTTTTCTCATTGACAAAATATCAATTTACCTAATTATCGTCATGAAGTTGTGGGTAAAATAATCAACTGACAAGAACAATTTATTTTTTTAATGCCATCAAAACGGCTATTCTCATAACTTTAGCGCTTGTGTGATAACAAGTTGAAGATTTAATATATTTTTTTACCACAAATAGGAGCATAAAAGGACAGTACTCTAATATATTTTTATTTGGAGTGGTTAAGATCATACTTTTAGGGATCATTTCTATAGTGTGTATCTTGACCGTGACGTCTATGACTTGACGGTTTCGCAACCGCGTTGATGCGTTGTTTCCACCCTCTCTGAGCGTGAAATTCGGTTATCGCCGTGCAGCATGCTGCCGTGGTAATCGTTGAAGATCGCTCCGCTGTCGATATTGAGAGCGGAGGAGAGGGTGGCTGTCTGAGCGGTTACAAAAAATAATACCTTGTTTGCTTTATTGTCGTCTTCGGTAATACTGGTGGTATCCATAAGGCGCGTTTGTACAGTATTGGCCATAAACCAAAACTTTGTGGCGAATGGAAGCCGGTTATTTAGCAGAAGATACAAAAGTGCAATAACTAATTTAAAGCTGGACCTCCCCTTTATCATTTAATAAATGGTATTATCTTGTTAAAATACACGTATGACGTAATGTGTCATTTCCGAATAAAACTTATGTTTGAAGACTGCCATCAACTGTGCGACAGCCTTCTGTGATCTTGGCTTGAAACCAAATGTATATTGTGAACTGAGCTCAGTTGGTTTTGATAAAATAAGTAATGTCACGTCTATGCGCAAATAACGAAGTGTGAATATCATGATAACGTGGATGGCTAAGAGTTAAAACCATATTGAATTGTTGACATATAACATTCACATCAATATATGGTCATATTAATGCATTAATTGCTTTCCGTCGTGATCTTGATCATGACTTGATCAATTACAGCAAAAATAACAAATTTAACTAGTAAATTTGAAATTTTCAAAAAATAAAATTTATTTTTCGCGAGGGCTTGTAACTAAACTAGAATCTGGATTATATCATATTGAATCGAAATTCACAAAACTACGAAATTTTTTTATTTCTGACTAGAATTTTAAACCGAAAGGTCAGCTGGAATGTGTAACAGTCGAGCATGAAATTATAAAATGACCGAGTATTATTAATAGTAAATGTCTATCACGAATGCATTGATATACCATCTCGCACTGTGTGAATGTATCCCTGTTTAACCGGAATTTACAATTATATATTGATTACTTTATCATATAGAATAAGAGCTTAATGATAGAATTTAACTAACTTTTGTTAGCTCAAATGATAGTAGTCTATTATTGCTAATGAGAGGAATTCTCCAATCCGAATATAGTATTTCTCATGTAGGGATTTTTATAGACTACTACACAAGCTGGACCAACTCAAATGGCTTTGAAATATATTATATCAATATACGATATTCACAAATCAATAACAATGACACGATTTTGCCTTTAAAACATATGCATGGGTTTGTTTTGTAGAATCTCGCCAAGTCGGAGCCATTTGCATGTACCGGTATTTGATATTATTAATTTAACATTACTATTAGTGAATTTTATTGTAGAGAAAATTGCACCACATGTTGTGAAGCTCTTTTTAAGTCATGACTCGAACACGTCAAAATTGAGTCAGCTTAAAATTTGGTCACAAAAGAATATGTATGAACAACCTTTACAGAGGTTCACTTTTCAAATTAAATTCCTGCTAAGCATTTTATATGATGTTGTTTGTGAATCGGTGTCGTACCACATATGTTGGAAAATTAACACATATGTGGAATAGAGGGTTCTAATCATTTGGGACAAAACATCCTAATTTTCAGCGTAACCAAGTAGAACGTATTTCCCATTTATTAACAAACCGTGTAATGTAAATAAACATTGCCAAATGTTAACATGGAAAAGAACGGAGGTAGAAACGGGATTTAATAAACTTAAAAAAATTATTGTATTCACTCGCATTTTCAGGTATTTTTCTTGACGAATTTCAACTTAACTTTGCTTCACACTATTTAAATCATATGCCTTTTACACACAGATCAACGAATTGCTATAGGTATAGATCCCACCAAGAGGTTTATACAATGTGAGACGAAGCAATTGGGCAAGCGGACAAGAACGTATTAGAAAAGTTAAACAAATTACTTGCGTTCGTTAAGTAAATGAGCGATGATTTGAATAGTGAAAAATATATCCCAGATAGATCTCTGGATTCTATATGAAGAACAGATAATAGAAACTCACTTCGTCGCTTTTCTCGTTCCATGATAAACTCATTTAGCCAGGCTTCCTTTTCCTCTTTGTCTTTGGCAAGAAGGACGAACCATTTGTTTTTAGCGGCGTTCAGAATTTTCCATCCGTTATTTACGGTGTATCCACAACTATGGAAATCCGCTGTGTTAGGAGAATAGTATAAAATATTTCAGATACGCTAAGATGCAAATATTTTGTAAATAGAAATCCGTAACTTACTAAAATATCAGTGGGAAAATTAGGAATAAAACCAACCAAAATACCGATCGTAAATTCTGGATATATGGAACGTTATAAATAATATGCATATTGATATAATTATAAAAATTATTCAGAGAAGTTGGCAAAATGCTCGTTTTAAACGCTGGATCACGTGATGCAAAATTTTAAAAATTACGCATACATATTCTAAAGAATCAAACAAGGTCCTTACATGAGTCATGCAATACAAAGTTATGGACTATATTTCAGCAGAGTTTGAAACCGATTGTTTCTGTTTTTCCGATGCGCGTCCAATAATACATGGTACGAGAATGTAACAGCGCTTACGTCTCGACTTATGTTAGTTCATATTTGGCAAATCCTAGTTCAATCGTGTTGCAGCGAAACATCTCATAAAACTTTTTAAAATAGCTCAGAACTCCTGAATGAGCAGGAATATTGAATTTGAATATCTTACATGTGCCGTCTTCTACGCTTTCTATTTCCATCAACTCTGTTGATATCCGGCCTTTGAACAGCCATTTCTTTTGATCTTGTGCGTTCTTTTTTCGTTTCGATTTCTTTTTTTGCAAAGTTGCGGTTTTGTCTTTGTTTTCTGCGGCTTGGAGTCTAATATATAAAATATGTTTTGTTCAGATCAGCACTTGTAGTTTATAGGGAAATATGAAAATGGATATAAAATCTTAGTCATTTCTTTCAAAGCTTTTTTAAACCCAAACGTATTCATTTGAATAAGTAACTGGAACAAAAAGTCCTTTTAAATAAATGTGTTCGCTGAATTAAATCAGTCACTGCGAATTTGTTTTTGCAATTATCTAAGTCATACCAAGTAAGATAGAATCATGTTAAAAGTACCAAGGTTGATAGTAGCCTCCTCATATAATCGTATCAGTTATTCGCAGCAAAAATATAATAGACTGTGTATATAGTATACATCCTTTATCCGGAAATTGAACGAGGTCAAAAAGCCGCGAGTAGGGCATAGCCAGTTACAGTATATTATTATACATAGCGAGCAATGTGCCCTGAGTAATAACATTAACCTTGTATGTATAAGATTATTAACGTTTAATCTTGCTAAGCGTGATGGAGCATGTTTGATACAATGCTATGATTTCACAGTTGCTCTTGGCTTTAGATCCCACCAATTCAAATCATAATGTTCAATGTTATATCTAGATTTCAGAATCAAACATTAACTTTTAGCGATCAACTGAAATTTTTCTATTTTGTTTTGTGCCTGATCGAACGCCCGTAAAATCTTTACTATAAACGAGAAGATGGTGGTTTGCATCGCTTAAATTTTGTTATTTTGCCTTACTGTAGTCTGGCATATAAAACAGAATATAGCATAGCCTGTAATATAGTATTGACGCTTTTCCTAATACACAAATTTGAGTCTTTCATTCTTCTTACCAATCTTGAAGTCGATATGATGGAGCATTGCATGCTTTGGATTATAAACGTACCTTGGTAAAGTGTTGGCTTTTTTGCAATAAACTAGAAGATGATCAAATAAAAAGAACTGTCTCTCTTGAATGTTTCCAGCAGATATTTTCAATAAGGCTCCTTGTTTTATAAGCGTTGTGCAGTTGTCAGTCAGGTTGGCTCCCTGTAAAATCAAATTTGATTTGAAGTGAGTTTAGACTCCAATGACATCAACAACCACGATCATAACTCCAACCAATGAATCATGCATATGAATAATAATTTTCAACGTGAATCAGGAAATTTTATGATGGTTTATAATGCCCAGTTGGTAAATTCTCCCTAACAGAATATTTATATTGTATGGCCAAATGACGAAGCAACTCGTTCAATGTATCATAATTCTTTATTCTGTATATCATAAGGGCCAGTTAATCTCTACAAACTAAATTTGGGTCAAATTAGTAACCAAAATACATGAGACAAGTTCGAATAAAAATAGTCATAGTTGCTCCAGGATAAACTCGAAATATAATGTTTTTATATGTAATTCCTTTTTATGTTTATGTTGATATAAAGTGCACTTCATGCATGCTTTATAAAGACGCAAGTATACCCATGTCTGACCCTGTCATGTGTTGCAATACTTTTCAACGATTCTATTTGAATGCATCGTCTGATATTGCAAATGCAAAGGTCATACCTCCCAATTGGCAATTGTGCTCTGTAGTTCTTCTAATTTTTCTAACTGCTCCAATTGTCGTTTTGTTTCATTAACGTTACTGCAAACAGCTTTCATAATTTCTAATGCTTCCATTACGCTAGGATAGTCCGGATGTTCAGGTGGAGTTTTCTTTGATAATTCCTGTATAATATATTAGTTATATAGTCACTTCCTATGAAGTTAAGCTTTGAATAAGATCTGTACAAGTACAAATCCAAATTGTTTAATTTATCAAAACTGGAATCAATCCATACTTCGTGCTTTTTTCGTATTTGGTAACTCTTGTTGTAAATGTATCAGAAAGTTGGTCATTGGCATTTACCCATTGGTACAATGATGCTTATTTGCTTATTATCTTATAAATATTGTGATAACTTCTCAATATACTGTTATCATTAATATGTTTTGGGTATTAAAGAAATTAATTTCACACGAAAATAAATTTTCTTACCCTGAGAAGAAGTGGATATTTGCATATTCTTTGAATTGGCGTCAATAAAAAACCTTCCATAGATACGTCGTTAACATAATTTCCCAACATGAGGCAGCCCTAAAAAAAACAGTTTAACAGTTTAACAGTTTTAATTGTTACCGTTGATATTTATAAGTTTCAATTTATTTTCAAAATATACTTACTAATATGAATCCCTGAAATTCCGCATTTTCAGTCAATTCATTCAATTTCTTCTGTGCTCTTTCATGATTAGTGCAATATGGTGCATAGACTTCGAAACGTTGTTTCTGAAAAGTATGAATAAAAAAATCATGAAGAAGTTTTTTTTTTGAGGTTGGAGTTACCAGAATTGGCAAAAATTTTCATATACAATCCACTATTTGACATTTCTCTCCCAAGATGGGGGAATTACGTCCGCCATTCTTTGTTCGGCGAAATGAAAACAGCTGGTACTGTCACAAACATTGTTTGAAGCTGTCAACATATCAAATCAAAAATAGGCCAAGAAGTTTTAACAAACTTTCAAATCAAAGAGTTAGAATTAGCTCTGCCGTCTACCGTATGATCAACGATGAGAACGATTTCTACTAGTGTTGCAAGCATTTGATATGAAGTCATATTATATAAAATTGCCTATACGATTCATTCATTCACATATACCGGTACTTGATGAAACGCAACTTTCTTCTGTGAATGATGAAGTTGTTACAAGAAAATATGTAATCCTCCATTCGGAAGTAACTTACGTGTTCCACAAAACATTTTCCAATGCAGTGTTCATACGATGGTTCCGGTTGCAATGCTGCTTCCATTGATAAGTATAGATCGTTGTGAAACTAAATAGAAAATATGCAACATTCGGTGTAATCACGATCTCTTCAGTTTTCTCTTCATTTACAGAAACAAGTTCATTCAAATACAATAAGTTCTCTCTTTTCATTTATTTTTGGTTTACCAAGATGGACTAAACCCAAATATCATGGCTGTGTATCAGATTGAATAAGATTATCAATTATTCACTCAATATTGGTATGCTAGATTCGCAGATAAATTAACGAATATTTTCATTTGAATAGAACAGTTTCAGTCGTGTGTGAATTTTTTCTACAAACATGTGTTTATTTTCGTCGACGAGTCTTACACCAAGGACTACGACTAAACACAGCATTTTCACCTGTTTTAGTTCGACGACATTTGATAGTAATGTTGCAACCGATCCTTCTGGGATTAATTTGTCATTTTCATCTTCTTCGCGACTTTGGAGTCTTTCCATAAACACCTAGAAGAGTTGAAGAAATAAATTCACATAATTTTAGCTTTGATATAAGCTGGTATTATATTAACGAAAATCTTTTCAAAACTTTATGAAATATTCGGACTTAAACAACAAAAATTTGCTTATACTGTTCTTATTTGAATTTTACAGATAACCGTACCTCCCAATCAGTATTAAAAATCAAGTTAAAATTTCCTATTTTTGATTATGATATTATAAATTCGTGGGCGACAGATGAGATAATTAAGACAACGTTTGGAAATGATAGTATGATTGTTATTATTAATCATCACATGTATGTACCTCATACGACGCAACCTGTGACGTTGTGCCAAAATCGGAAGTAGCTTCCGAATTATATTTCACTCAACAGGCCTCGCTCGTGCCTGGTAAAGCGATAAAAGAAAACGAACAGAAGAAGACATGACGTAAAGTTGATTGCATTCTCTGACTGTTCCTATCATCATGGATACATTTTTTTAAATCCTAATTTATATACGAATACAAGCTGCAAAAGAGTTCGGTGGGGGAATAATCCGATAGATAGTTGTTGTTGAGTTACCAAATAACACTCGTCGAAAATCAATTTGTTGTCACGAGCAAACCATCCCTATTTGTAATGAATAAACCGATAATTTTCAAATGATATAATATTTGAGTAAGAAATTGCGTCAAGTTTGAACAATTGATGAATGTCGATACTATAAAACAAAACATGAGAACAAAGTTAAGTCAAAAATGAATATATTCCGCGTTATCATTAATTCTAGAGAATAAAATTATTATATAACTGTTTTCAATAAACAAACGTTTAGTTTGTCTTATATGAAAAGAGATTAAAACACATTTAATTGTAAATACAAATAAACAACTTACGGAAGATAAAAATTTCAGAGTGTCCAAGTAATCTTTTTCCGTTTTAAATATTTCTTTTAACACATAAGTCCTCATTCGCATCGTCTTTTCCGTAGGCTCTGCCATATTTTACGGTATAAATTGTATCCACCTTCACAAATAGCTTGCTTTTTTATCTGAATACAATATTCCCAACAACAATAATATTCTCAATATTTCTACAGGTCAACGTTGGCGTAAATCCAAGTTCATTGTTTACAAAGCGAATAGAAATAACAACTCTTTGTTTTTATGGCTGGACGGTTTCAATGTGATGCAGTCAATGTAGCATATTAGTTGTTTCGCTGATGTTGGTTACTTCCTTGTGTAGGTCGCGTCTTCAGCAAGAAACTTAGTCAGCGTGATAGGTTATTGTTGTGCGTAGGAAGCTTAGTTATTATAAAATAAGCACGTTGGCTGGTGTATAATATATTACACGCAATAGCAGTACAGTGTCGTCATCAGACGACCGAAAACGAATCAGTGATTGTATAATAAACTAAATAAATATATCACTGGTGTCTCTACAAAAATAAAGAACATAAAAAAAAATAAAATCAGATTTCTCGACGTCATAGTTTGCTTGTCTCATGGATATTGAGACTAGTAGAAATAAAATATATGCCTCCTATCCCACAAGATAAGTCAGCAAATCACTCAGGATTTGTCACGCATATGCCTATGTCTCTCTTAGCATCATTGGGCGATGCTCAAATATATGATGTATTCAGAAATATAGAAGCAACCAAAATATTATACGCCTGGGCAACATTTGCAAAAATGGAACACCTAAAAATATAACTGGCCTGGCCGATTGGAGTAAATCTCAACTAACTCCTTTATCTATGTATTTGTAATAGTGGACCCGTATGTACAGGCTGTCGGGATACTGTTGCAAGTATTAAACTGATAGTAGAAAATTTACCACGCCACTTAAATTACGTATCACACAATCTGGGCCGAAATAGAAACAACGGAAAGCAATCTGAAGCGTTCTCCATATGGCAATTCGAATGCTCGCGCAACACGAAAAACAACTCTGAGAGCAAGCAAGAAATAAGTGAAAATTCTACAGATTTCTATCCTTCTTTCTAAATGAGAGCTTTCATAAATAATAAAAATTTGAAAGCAAGATTTCATTATAAATAAACTTCTGCGAAACAATCAGGACAAATAGGCAAAAAATCTCATAATATTCTCACGCAAGACGTATCCTACTCATTCAATACATCACTTTCTGAAATTTCAGTAATTGGACGAATATTCAACTGTCAATCATTTATGCACTGCACAAGTCGTTTACAATTACTCTCTTTTTATTTTACTTTTGCACAGTTGAATCTGTTGCTAGCATAACGCTACCGAATATGTTACTCGCCAAAACAAACTAAATGCGCGCTACATCAGTATCACGCCTTTTCATCACTAAATAACACGAACAGCGCGGTAGCTGCCATACAATTCGATCGTGTTGACGCCAACATGCAAATTGATCCACAATTGATTCATTACATGTTTTACTGCGAAATTGCGAGGATGTGCCGGGCATAGCATAACATGGCTATATTATAGCAAATACGATCCATATGTAAATCATCTATGAACCAATTGCGAAATAATCAACTAACTGTCATAACCTCCAAATCAAGTTATAATACTGTCTTTATTCCGAAAACGCATTGCCCGTACATGGCTGATTCCCAATAAAGACAATTTTCGTCGGGTAGAGCAATATCAATGTATTCCAGACAGTAGGATATACTTTATTATCTTAACGACCTGAGGAGTAGGTCAAACTGGGATGGACATTTAGTATCTGAATTATTGGTATTCAAATTCGAATTTAATGTGGGAGTCCGCATCATCATCTCGCACAGTTGCCGGACCAACGAATAATATAATCAAGATAATGTACAAATATATGTAGAAACGCATAGAAATGTTATATTCAATCTAATCGTATTCGTAGATAATACAAGCCTCGCAAGTCCAAAAATACTCGGCATGTGTGTAACAAAATATTCCCCATTGAGCGTTATTGAAAGAAAAGAATTGTTATGTCAGTCAGGAAATGGAATTGTATAATATTGCGAATTTGCGATTTTCCCAGACTCACAAGACCGATTTATACTTTGGCCAAGTCTGGCCGCACACTACTTTGTATTCAATTTCGAATGACGAAACCAATACTTTGTGATAAATTTACCACTACGTTATGTTTACTACTTCACTGACATATTGTTATATTTATCGCACAATCGGAGAGCAAGCTGATGTAGGCATTTTTATTTTAACTGTCATGACATACTTTAACAACCATTGCACAGTAAACAAAATATTGACTCCTTGTTAAAAGCATGCTTACTACACTGATACACTACTATGATATCATAATGACATAATTCAGTATTGACTATCCTAATTTAATTTATAACAAATAACCTTTCTGCTTTAGTAACTGACACATATACTAACTCTTTTGACTCTTATATAATTCCCGTTTAAGAACAAAATAGACTTCACTGATGATATGCAACCTCTATGCTTTCGACCTGAGGTTTCATAAACTGAATTGTCCGTCTTTTATTGCCCACTATTTTTATTGGACAATTCATGACGTCATTCCCTAACGTGATTTTTAATTTGCTCATCAGTGGGCATGATACATACATAGACTGGACGAGTTATTGTAATACTTTTCGATGACCAATTTTGATCAAAATTCCAATCTGTGTAATCAAGCATGGCATGCTGCACACAGAAACAAAAATAATAATAAAATACGTCAAATGATAACTACAGCAAGTCATTTACTAATAAGTTATCGAATACGTAGACAGTACAACATTTTTCATCGCATCATACCGAGGCCCGGTGCCAATTTGACACTAACTCTAACGTAGTTCGGTGCAAGGAAAGCGTGACAAAATTCGCCGCGCAGCTGGTTGACTTACGGCAACGTAGGCTGCTATAACTAAAGTGTGACGTTTGAAAGAAGTTTTCAAATGTGCGAAGTTTGACGTTGGATTATAACCGACTTCAAACATTATAACTAACACGATTAGTTAGGGTAAAAAGAGATAATTTGTTTATTAATGCCAGTAATCAATACCGAATATTGTGAAAAGGGAAGAGACAGAAAGTACCCAAAACAACATGAAATATAAAATATTTTGCGTAAGAAGTTTTGAAGTAAATATCAAAATCTGGTTACATAATGCGAATAGAGACGCCGAGAACATTTGTTATACAAAAATAACTCCCTATTTGAGTGGAAATGAGGTAATTTGATACTGCACTTTTTAAACAAATAATGATATTTTATGAGAAAAATATTTGAGATAACATAATAACATTATCTCCAGTGTGTAATCAGATAATCGATAGATAAAGTACGATAGCGGGATGCACAGAGCCAGGGACGCCGACACGTATTTAATATTATTTTTTTTATTGAAATTAAAAAGATAGTAATATTTCGTTTTCAATAGATACTCGTAAAAGAATAATGTGGCATATAACAAGAATTAAATATTTGACAAAAACCAGTAAAAGGTTTTTTCCTGATTTTTCAGCTTCAGTTTACAATTGAAAGGGGTTTCCCATGAATGACGAAAATAAAGTATTTAAGAGTAAAGTTTTGAAATTTGTTTTATTTTAACCGGTGATAGACTGAGAATAAATCTACTTAGTCATTAAGTATCATCCTTTAATCGGGAACTCACGAAATGTGAACAGGATATGGGCTAGATTTAACTAAATACCTCGTTGGTCGCTTGTACTATTGCCTATATTTAGTGAGGTTTGAATTGTTGAATATTTTTCTTCAAATACCAACATAACAAAGTTTACTAATGATGATTTCGCTAACAAATATAATCGACTAAATTCGTTATTTAGATAATTAATACAATTGATACGGTAAACCACACAGGAGTTCAAATTTCAACAACAATCTATACTTCTGCATAAGCGCAAAAGGAAACGTTGTCTTATTATTATTAATAATGATGAGAAAACCTATCATCTATCATACCTCAACATCTACACTCAACATCCACCACTTGTGGGATTGTGGTCGATATATTGACAAACTCAACAGCTTAGAAGGCATGAAATTCTAAGATCTCAGCCGAAACAAAAAAAAGAATTCGTTACTTCCTAACTTCTACCTCCCTTCTGCCCTTGGTATATCTCGACGTATTGTTTTGTCGCGACGTTTCCAAACCACAGCACACAAAACGACAAAATTTTATTCCCGAACGTTGGGATAGACAAAAACAGGTGCTCGCAACGCCCGCTTTCGCGCCAGCATAAGCGACTGTCCATCATATTTATCTATATTTCACTATTTCTTTCCACATAACTTCTACTCATATAAAATAAATATTTTGGAACGCTCGACTGAGGAACAGTAGTGTTATTTGGTACTGAATGACACCTACAATACTCATGCTAAAGAGAATTGTAAACTTCCTAAATACAAGCAAATGTCGTTGATTTCTTGATAAGTTCACTATGATTAAATACAGGAAAATATGCAGTGTAATAAGCAACTGGAAAGCCAAAGATTTTGAAGAAAAACAGCGAGTCAATTTTCCGATTGCCAAGTAAATATTACGCAAACTGAAATTTGTTCCACACGTATCGAATTAACTACATACCATATTCATCCATAATGAAGATGCGTCATTAGCAATAACTAAAACCTATTTTGATGCGTCTATTATATTCTATCTACAGAACCAATGTTCACTCTTGACTCATTTTAACACAGTTTGTACGTTGATATTCTCAGTCGACCCAGAAAACATTAAAATCAAGCGGATGTTTACGAATGTTACACTCCCGCGTCTGTCAATTTTGCTTGTAAGAAAATGATGTAAGATCCACACAGTTTTAAGCGTGATTTGTGAATGTAGCTCACTATTAATTACAACAAGGCACAAATCAGATTTATCCAATTTTTAGAAGTTCGAACTTTCTGGTGTTATACCTTTTCAATCTATGGCATTCAAATAAATGTCAACAGCAAGGCAGCGTTATCTAGCATTACCTAAAGTTTATGTATATACGGTGTTCCAATCATCAATGAGAAATCAAATACTTTCTTATACAGATTGTCTATTCTATATTTCATATCTTTTCCATTGCATTTTGCTGTGAAAGTGACTAACGAGCGCGTAATATATAATTGCTTAGAAACTGTCTGCACTTCGAAATCACGAATTTTACAACATACTATTAATATGGAATTAACTGACTGAATTAGGCGGCCTGACTTTGCCCTGTTCAAACGTAAACCAACAAATTAACTGCAAATTAATATACATTTCTGAATTTAGCCCACTATCATTTATAGCGTTGGTAAAATTCTATCAGTCGTTTAAAATTGAAGTAGCCCTGCCTTCCGGCCTACTGATTTATGATCTGTTGTGGGGAAGGGTCGCTAGTGTTACGTCATTTCCTGAGAGCCTAAAAAACGAAACGCCTTTTTCTTACAGTAGTTGTTTCTTTATTCTCTTCTGAT